ATTTAACGAGCTCAGTATTCTTTCCGAATTCCATAGCTCATGCTGTGAACTGTTCTCCCCAAATCCAAGCTTGGCAGTGGCAAAAGAAGCAGCGGGAAGACCTTTCTTTAGGAGAAAGGAGTTCCTGGAATGCCATTAATGGGGATTAATCAGAAGACTTTACAAGGATCTTGCAAATTATTCCCCACAGTGGAGAATTCCCCATGGGGTCAAGTGTGGAGCTGATTCAGGTTACAGGGTAGATCTCATTAGGATGACGGATCAGAAATGTCCATAGACTGTGTGTTTAATTCCCACAGGAGTCCTTCTACTGGAGCATGCCGCCAGGGCTGGTGCATCAGACACAAACATCTACGCTGCTCAGAGGTATTCATTAAATCTAACACCAAGACTGAGAAACCCAAAAGATTGCACACACTAACGTGGGAAACGCGCATCCTGACTTGCATAGGCGCACGCCATTTAAGTGAGCGGCAAGGGCTTGTGCACGCTGGCCGCTCGCATGGAACATCCCCTCTCCCCCCTCCCCACCGGTCCACAAAGCCGCCAACATGGGGAAACTCTGTTCTAACTGGTTGTGTGAACAAGTTCCCTTCCTGGGTTCTGGGGAAATCATTCACCTCTGTCCTAATGAGCGGGTATGCAATAATTTGTTTACACCAACTCAAAATGCTCAGCCAAAACCTGTTTCTCCAATTTTTTGATATATATGTGTCATTAAGCTCAAGGCTTAATCAAAGCTTTGTGTTATATTCTTATTGAATGTTGATTGTCGCAGACCTGCCATCAGTAGTTAAGATGTGCCATCACCTTTCAATCATAGGAGCAGGAAGCAACGTTCAGGTAGATGGGTCTGAAACTAAGAAATCCTGTTTTAATTTGAAGACAGAAGGCTTTCTTCTCTCTTCTACAGGTGGTGTCAGGAGAATGTCTGCCTTGTGGACAGAGAAGAGAAGGCTGGTTCTTACAACTCTAAAGCAGTTTCCCTGGATAAATCTTTGGTTTATGATGGGTATTCTTCTCTGAGAGGAAAACTGTAGTAATTAACAGCTGATCACCAATAAAATAAAGGACGGGAATACAAAATTAAATCCATATTATTTAACAGGAAAGATAATATATCTGGTTTTCCACAGTCCTTGGGTAATGCTTTATAGCCAAAGTGTACTTGCAGATGCTTAGTATTATGGCATTCGACTCTCATTTTTATCATTTGACTACCTGTAGTGATCTTGGCAAGTTTTATTTTCTCAATTAAAAGTGATTTTTAACAGACTACTTCCATCTATATAAATGGGTCTGAAATTAAAATTGTTTTCATAATTTGTCCAATAATGTCATGATGGACATATCACTGTAGCTATCTGACACCTGTGATAAAGGCCTTGAAATATTGAATATGGAAGTTTAAAACTTTTTTCTTTCTCTTTTAGATTGTAAATTTTCTTTCGTGATTCAGAACAATGTGGATTTCATGTTTCTTTTTCTGTACCATTCTGATTTCTTTTTTAAAAAGTGTTAAACAAGAATTACACAGAACCTTTTCTAAATTTTTGTTTATGAATGATAGATTAAAAAAAAGAATTTCTATGCCTCTGCATACTTTGAATAAAGAAATGTCTGGCTTGCTAATAATTATTTTCTTAATAATTTACAAACTATATTATCTCTGGTTTTCCCTGGTTTACCCCTTTCCATAACTCTCTTTGCACTTGTATATTATGAAATTGATTCAACATACCGGTATTTTATTTTAAAACATTTAAAGGGCAAAATGTATGGCTGGATAAAATGTAACAGAAGACAATAAGAAAGGACTGAATATAAATATATATTGAATATAAAACATGAGTCAATAAACAAAATGTTACAATTGTCAGAACATTCTGACTCTCTCAGTTTTGAGGGGATTGTTTGTTTTTATTATTGTTTTAAAGGTTTAAACCTTTCTTTCAAAACATTTAAAGGGCCAAATAAAGAAGAAGACAAAGACAAAAAAGACATTATGGGTGAAAATAAATCTAACTGAAAATAATTTGACATGTTTTCAAATTGATTTTTAAATCAATGCATGTTATGCCCTAATTTGTTTTTAAATCAAAGCAAGTGAAGAGAAAAAAATGTTTTTAGTAATAGTTTGAGGGGAGGTGACAGAAAAGAAAAAGCTTCCTAATAATTTAAGGAATAGCCAACTGAAGAGAAAATATAGTAATAATTTAAAATATAGTAATAATTTAAAAAATAGGGAGCTGTAGAATGAAAGGCTATTTTTGACAATAATTTAAGGAGCAGGCAACGGAATATTAATTTATTACAAATAATAAAATGGGGAAAAAATGAGAGTAAACTTCAAAGCGCTCTGATTTTGGCGGGAAGAGGGAGGCCATCTTGGTCCACCATCATTTCCCCTCAGGTGCCTCATCCCTCCCCCCATCTCTGCCTAGGCAGTTCTGCTCTCAGTCGCTCTTTTAGCTCTTTATTTCTTTTTCTTTTATTTCTTGCTATTTATTGCCTCTCACATTCTCTCCTGGGCTCTGAGCAACTTATAAGCCTCCCAACAGAAAGATTAAAATAGCTAAAATAATTTTTGTTCCTGTAGGGAGTTGGGTACTGACTGGACCCCCTGCTTCTCTCTTTCTTTGGAGCATCAAAGCTCTTTTCATTTTGTTTGGGAGGCAAAAAGTGGCCCAATTGGTAAAATTCTGTTGTTGTTTTTTTCTCTCTCTCTCTCACTCTGCCATCCCCACTTCTGTTTAGTTAAGTCTCAGACAGAGCTCTCTTTTTAGCTGAAGCAAGATAAAAAATTTGGGTGGGAAAAGGCAAAATATTCTATCTTTTTAGTGAATGAAGCACACAAAATATTATTATTTTTTCTTCTTTCAGATTGTACCCCACTTTTGCATTTCTGATCTGTTATTATAAAAAAAAAACCTCAATAATTTAAGGAATAACTAATTGAAGAGAAAATATACTTTATGGTAATAATTTAATAGAGAACTGAAGAAGAAAGGACTTTTTAAAAACAATAAGGGGCAGGCAATCATAGAAAAGTATCTCCTTTGAATATCTATCTATTACAAATAATAAAATAAAGAAAATAACACTAACTTTTCAAAGAGCTCTGAGGTGATTTTGGAGGCCATTTTGATCCACCCATCATTTTTGCCTCAGACATCTCATTCCTCCCTCAGCCCTGCCCGGGCAGCTCTCCTCTCAGGCACCTTTTAGCTCGTTATTTCTTTTTCTCTTATTTATTGCCTTTTCTGTTCTCCCCCGGCTCAGAGCAGGCTATAAGCCTCCCAACAGAAAGATTAAAATAGCTAAAATAATATTTCTTCTTGTAGGGAACTGTATACTGACTGGGCTGCCTGCTTCTTTCTTTCGTTGGAGCATCAAAACTCTTTTCAATTTATTTGGGAGGAAAAATTGGCCCAATTAGTAAAATTCTGTTTTGTTTTTTCCTCTCTTTCTCTCACTCTGCCATCCCCACATCTTTGTAGCTCAAAAAAGCATTTCTTCCTTCCTATTCTTCTTCCTATAGGAGTTGGCTACCGACTGGGCAAGCAGCTTTTGTCTCTCTTTCTTTTGAACATCAAAACTCTTTTCATTTTATCGGGGAGGAAAAAAGGTGGTCCAATTAGTAAAATTCTGGGTTTTTTTTTTCCCTCTTCCTCATCCTTGATCCTCATGTGAAACCAGCTCAGGGGAGAAGCTGTTTGCAAATGCTCTATGGAACTCTTACCTTAATTAGAGAAGGTTGTTGGCTAACCATCAAATAAAGTTCTATTCTGAGCTCAAGCAGGACAAAAAAAATGGATCCAGTTTTGGTCACCACGATATATAAAAAAGATGTTGAGATTCTAGAAAGAGTGCAGAGAAGAGCAACAAAGATGATTAGGGGACTGGAGGCTAAAACATATGAAGAAGAGTTGCAGGAACTGGGTATGTCTACTTTGATGAAAAAGTGGACTAAGAGGGACATGATAGCAATGTTCCAGCATCTCAGGGGCTTCCCCAAAGAAGAGGGAGTCAAGCTATTCCCCAAAGCACCTGAGGGCAGGACAAGAAGCAATGGATGGAAACTAACCAAGGAGAGAAGCAACCTAAAACTAAGGAGAAATTTCCCTAACAGCGAGAACAATTCGCCAGTGGAACAGCAGACTGAAGTGAAATCCTATCCCATTTCAGACAACTGGCTGGCCAATCTCTTCTTAAAAACTTCCAGGGTTGGAGCATTCACAACGCCCGGAGGCAAGCCATTCCATTGATTGTTCTAACTGTCAGGAAGTTTCTCTTTATCTCTAGGTTGCTGCTCTCCTTGATTAATTTCCCTCCATTGTTTGTTTTCTTGGCTTCGGGTGCTTTGGAGAATAGGTTGACCCCCCTATGCCAGAGGTCTCCAAACTTGGCAACTTTCCGACTTGTGGACTACAACTCCCACAATTCTCCAGCCAGCTATGCCGTCTGAGGAATTCTGGGAGTTGAAGTCCACAAGTCTTAAAGTTGCCAAGTTTGGCGACCCTTGCCCTATTCTTTGGGGCAGCCCCCCGAGATTTTAGAAGGCTCCTGTCATGTCATCCCTGAGTCTTTCTTTTTATCAGATTTGACATACCCATTTCCTGCAAACATTCTTCGTATGTTTTAGCTTCCCCTAACCCTCTTTGCTGCTCTTCTCTGCACTCTTTCTAGAGGCTCAACATCTTTTTTTAAAAAAAAAAAACATCGTGGCGACCAAATGGATGCCGTATTCCAAGGGTGGCTTTATCTCCTTTCGCTTCCTCCGTGGACGGACTTCGGGGAGCCGGCCCTGCGATTGCAGAGGCGCTGCAGAGATTGCCCGGCTCCGGCTTTTGCCCCCTTTTGCAATGGGGAAGGATGAGTCTGGGGGAGGCTTCCCACCGCCCCGCAGCAAAGAACAGCCCGAAGAGTTACCTGCAAATCGCTAGGCGTCCCCGCCCCCTCCCTTGGCCCAGCCCAGAGCCGCTCTGGCGACGTCCCGGGGGTGGAAGAGCTGCCTTAAAACTCGCCCTCCTTTTCTCTCGCACTCGCGCCTTCCCTGAACCGTGAGAACCTTGCCCCCCGGGGCACCCGCCTGTCCCAAACCCGTGTAGAAACGACCTGCAGGAGGGCAAAACTTGGCCCCGGCCGCCGGCGCGCTTCTCCAGCGGGAGCCTTTGCGGGAACCGGGAAACTGCGGAGCGCTCGAGGGTGCCAGGGTGCAAACATGGAGGCCCCTCGGATGGGGAACCTCTACCTGGAAGACCCCTTGCTCCCGGGATACCTGAGAGCCCACCTGCCCGCCCAGGTGGGTGAGCGCCAAACGGGGACTCGGCGGTGGGGCCGCAGGGCTGGCTCGGTGCTTTTTCGTCGCCTTTGCTCCTCCGTTCCCTGTCACTGCCCAGGTCCATTGACCGGCCAGGGACTGGAGGGTGAGATGCCCACCCGGTTGGGAATCCTCGCACGGCCGGGTAAGGGGATGGACTAGAAGACCTCGGAGGCTCCTTCTAATGGTTCAGTGGCAGAGCCAAGGGCGGTGGAAAGCTCCAGTTCTCTGCAGTTTAGATTTTCGGAGCACTTCCCACCTGCTGTTGTAAGGCAAAAAAGGAGAAATTAAAATACCTGGAGTGGCGGACCCTTCCCTGTTCCTGGGAATACAGCAAAAGGTGCTCCCTTGCCTTAGCAGCCAGAGTAGCCTTTTCCCCCTAGCGTCTCCCATTCCTCTTCCAAGCACAGCTTGCACCCTTTTAATGCTGAAGATGAAGAAAACAGAGTCTTCCTCTCTTCCTGACAGGGCCTTAAGTCATAGGAGAGGCTGTTTCCCTTAACCTGGATCTCTGCCTCTTATGTAAGAGTGTCCCCTCCAACCTTCTTCAAAGGGGTGCTACTGTACAATTCTCTTCCCCCAGCCAGCTGGTGTGAGGTTACAAAATAGGACGGGACAGTTTACATCATGCTGGGAAGGAAGGAAAACTGGCAGAAGAATATTAAATCAGTAGAAATTGATTAGGGACTTAATATGTTCAGGAAGGGGGAAGTTGAGTTTCCATGAAAAGGGCTCCATCTCCTCTTGAGTTATGATGGCAGAGTTGGATCATGTTTTTCCTGAAGTAGTTTTAAACTTTGATATTTCCATTTTGGGGGACCCTGTCGTAATTTTGAACGCTCACTGATTAAGTCCTTGTTCATTAAGTGAGGACTACCTTTAGAATGTCTCTGTCTCAGCTGTTTATTCAGACAAATTGTGTAATGCAATATTATCAAAAGGAGAAATCTTTAAGCAAATACCTTTGGCACATATATGTTTCATACCATTGCTTATCCGAGGGAGATGGGCAGTTAATAAATAGGAGAATGGAATGTTTACATGAACATCCTGATTCTGGAAACACAAATTTGCAGCCTTGAAAAAAACAGCAATGATCCAATTCACGTATTAGATTACAGCAATAGGGTTTCAATACGATACAATACCATTGCAAACAAATTATACAAAAACACATCTTAACTTGTAGCATCTACAAGTTAAGCACCTGTGGTCTTTTAAATATTGCAGTTCACACCATTAGCCATGGTGGCTAAGGCTGTTCGAAGTTTCTGGCTCAGCCACATTGAACGAGTGACAATTTCTACCACCTTTACCTTATGTAGTGCAACCTCAAAATTGTTAAATCATGTGCAATTGTCACACATTTTGTAATATTCCACCACAAGTAAACCATCCATACCACTAGCAGCTCAAAGGTTATAAGTCACTTTTTCCAAGGCCTTCATAACTTTGAAATGTTGTTAAACAAATGCTTATAAGCCAAGAACTAGCTGTACATTTATATTTGTTTTTTCCTCCAGCGGCCCAAAGACAAATCATGCATTAGATTCCCACTTAGGCTAAAGAGCTAAACAAGCTCTGGAAGCCTTGGGAGAACCACAAAAAAACTTTGATTCTTATATCCCTCTTCAATGCTGTATTTTCATCAATAGTTTTACCCAAGAAAAGGATGATGGGAATACAGTGAACTGAGCTTGAAACTGAGCTCGTATACATTCTGAGCGTTCTTTAGGAAAGACACCGAGAGGCAACTTGGTTGATCTAAGAACTAACCACAAACTTAGCTTGTTTGAAGAAGCCACACCGGATGAAACTGCTGGCCACATAAGAAAGAAACCAGCAGCCCTTCAACTTAGCTTCTTTTGTTCCTTTCAAAACGACCTTCTGGTTCCTGTCCTACCCCTCTTCACGTTCCATATTTATGCATTGACCATGTAGGTGTTCGCCGAGGTGAACATTGATCTGGAACGGTTTGGAGCTCGTTTGAGAGATGAAATTGGCTTCTTGGGCTGTGAGTGTGAGCTAAACCCTCCTAGATTATTGCATTTTGATGCCTGGGGGCAACGTGTGGACCAAGTGATCACCTGCCCAGCCTGGAAGAGGCTGAAGGACATCTGTGCTGAGGAGAGCCTTGTGGCTGAAGGTTATACAAGGAGATATTCCAGTTGGAGGTACTGCTATGCTTTATGGGAGCTATGCAAAGCCATGTGAACCTGTTTGGGTCTCTCTTGCATATTCTTGAATCCTAGCATGGCTTAAAGTTTGGTAGGGTTTTTGTTTAATAATAACTGATTAAATCCATTTCATTAAAGTCCATTAACAGTTATCAGAAACAACAACATATATTTTAACCTAATAACCCAACCTTATAGTCCTTTCTTTTCTGGTCAACAGGACCTGTCTACTTTACCCAAGTACATTTTTTTTGAGCGGGCAGGCCCCCCTGCACAAAACTATCTCTACATTTCAGGGGGTATTAACCCTAGCATGTTGCAGTCCTCTGCCCAAGCAGAGGATGTAAAAAAGTTCCATATGAGCTGAAACTATAGCTGATGTCCTGTTGTATTGCCCCCTCTATAACGACTTATTTACCAGATTAAATATCCCAGAAATTCCAGTCTCTTTTATATACAACTACTATTATTGGATTGGTATAATATGGTAGCACTGAACGAAGCTACGTTTTGCTACATTTGTCTTTAAAATTAAGCGGTCCTTGATCACCCACTGATGATTTTATCCATCAGTTGTAATACTGTATATTACTACATAATGTCCTGTCCTGTTCTGTTTTATTTTAAAGTTTAATTTTTGCCCTGGTCTGTGACCATAATAAAGATTGATAGAAACCTGCCCATGTTGCTTCTTCTCACTTATAGATGTTAGGTTTTTTATTATTTTAACTTTTTCTTTTATCCTCTACTAGGATAAATTTCACACACACACACACACACACACACACACACACACACACACACACACACCACTCTGCTTCTACTGGTCTACTACCGCAATAAACTGAATTGGTAACTGCTTTTTGGATATTTGGCTCTGCTCTCTTTGTTCTTCAATTCACCAACAGCTTCCTTGGTTTCCTTTCAGTTCCCTTCCTTTTCAGTTTCCAGTGTTTCAAATCTGCCATATAGGCATTTGGGGAGGAATGCCAAGTACACCTTCGTGTATTTTTCTTTTCACAGCCGTGTTTATCAGATTGCCAAGGTGTATCTTTTTATGCCCTTTTGTGCTTGCTATGGATGCCCTCTAGCCATGACTGATGGAGCAGTAAAAGTAATTGAGGTAAGTCTTTAATGCAAAGGGGGAACTGCTGGACTAAGTGACTGTTTTTGTTATTTAAACCCCCCAGCTGTCTTTAGTAACATTTGTAAAAAGTCTCTCTGTCCTATCTTTCTTTGTTATGCCAACAAATTGGGCCTAGTTCTAGTCTGGCCTAGTTCCTTTCTGCTGTGTCCCATAGAGTACAAAGGCCCTGGTGACTGTCCTCCTCTGTGCTTGCTTTAGACCATGACCCTTGAGACCTGTAGGAGTAGTTATCTTTGGAGAAGCTCCCTTGCCCAACTTTGCTGCTCAGCGACCGTTGCCATGACCCCGTTTGGCAGCTGTCCTGCTGTGCCAGGGGTTCCTGACTGTCTTCAAGGCAAGAGATGCACAGCGGTGCCTGATGGTGATGATGACCACCGTGTACTTGTATTCCTCTTGCTTGCGTCAACCCATCTCATATGGGAATGAAAGGCAGGGCTGACAGATACGTCATCTCTCCACCCATCTATATACAGTACCTGCCTTTTGTCTCTTGCTTGCAACTCCACCAGTCTTTAGGTATCCCAAAACCCCTGGAAGAAGCCTATGCTCATTTGACCTCAAGTGACCCCAAGACCTTCTGGATCTCTGGCCAATGGATGACAGAACGCAAAGGCGGCTCTGATGTCGGTAAGGAGGTGCAACGTGGGAGCCATACAGTTTACCGAATAAGACTGTATTTGGGTAGGCTGACTTATTCAACAGCATTTGCATTTAAAGATGTTAGGGTATTTTTCTCACAGGGTTTTGCTGGGGAAAATAGGAAGAGGGAGTTGTGAAGGTCACCATAAATTCCTGAATGAAAGGCAGGATCAAAACCTAAGTAATCAACCAGTGGTCATCTTTTAGGGAAAAAATTCCCAGCACAAAAATGTATTTTTTTTTTCCTCAGGAGGTGGAACAGAAACTGTTGCACGGGAACTTCCAGATGGCTCCTACAGTCTGCATGGTTTCAAATGGTTCACATCAGCTGCTGATTCAGACATGACGCTGACATTGGCAAGGATTGTGGGCCCTGATGGGCAGATACAACAGGTCAACCCAAAGAATATGAAACAGTAGCTTGCAAGTAGTTGCACGGTTACTAATGTGTTGCGCGGTTACTAATGTCCGGATACCAGCTCCGTTTATTTGGTCTCACGCTAGCAACTTTTGTGTGGCAGGGCTCCAGAGGCCTCTCTCTCTTCTACCTGAAAATCTATGAGGATGGGAAGCTGAACGGCATAAAAATACAGAGGCTGAAAGAGAAGCTGGGCACAAGGGCGGTGCCAACGGCAGAGCTGTGGCTGGATGGCGCTCGAGCACATCTGGTAGGAGCCACAGAGAAAAGCATTTCCTCCATTCAGCACATTGAGAGGAGCACAGAGACTCGCCTAGGAAAGGATTAAAGATCGAAGCATTCGCAACAGACAGCTGTTCAGGCTCTGCGTGAACGCTTCTGAGGAGGGGAAAAGCTACGCAGGGGAAGATCCTCAGCTCTAGTGTCTGGTGCAGCTTATTTGAAAAGATTAGATTAGTAACTAAATATTAGTTTTTAAAGTTGTTAAGAACAAGAATAAAAAGCTTGAGATTTGCAAGCAATGTCTCAAAAGTCTTAGAAACTAGGGGCAGGGAAAATAGTTCTCTTTTGTGCATCTATCAGCAAATTGTGATGGAGTATTTATCTTAATTGCTACAGTTGGTAGAGGCAGAGATGGGGCCAGGGGCGTCTGACAGTTATCAGCTGCCTTCAGAGTCAGACATCAGTGAAGCAGAAGAACAGCTAGAGCCTGTTCCCAGTGTGTGTATGCGCAGAGCTGCCAGACGAAGGGAACATCTGAGGAAAAAGGGCCGACTTGGGAGTAAAGCCACAGATGGACGTTGAATGGCCCCTCCCCTAAAGAATAAAAGAGGAGCAAAGGGGGAGTGGGGCTTTGCAGGAGACAATTAGTTCCTTCCAGCATGCTTGCCAAGTATTGCTGTGTCTGAAAGATATTGGCCTGGCGCCTCTCCAAGCCTGATAAAGGTTTGTAATTGGGAACTATCGTGAAAGGCTGTTGGCCGGGACTTTGTTGGAGAGGAAATTCATTGTAAATTAAATAAAAGGGACTGATGGGGACGAGGACTCTTGGGGGAAGCCTAGGTCAGAACTGCAGTGAGTGAGTGAGTGTGTGTGTATAAATATATAAAAATTAAAATTAACAATTAGCTAAGATTGTGGGGTATACCGTTGAGTGGCAGTGGGATCTTATATTCAGCAACCATGTCCACAATGGCAAGCCCCATACGGGTCCCTGGCCAACTGGCAGAGGCAGGTTTAAGACCCTTATGGAAAGCTAAGAAGGTGGCGATAGCTGTCATCTTGAGGAGTATGATATTCCAGAAGCCAGGAAAAATATGGTTTTAGCATTCCACATGGCTCCAAAATATTATTCTTTTGCTTGTTTTGGGAACCTGGCTTCATTATCCCTCTGCTCTACAAGACTTTGTGCACTTGTAGAATTAGTTATTTAAACTGAATTGTATGTTTGTAGGATCAGTCTTTAGAATAAAACTCGCTTGCTTGCTTTCCTAGAAGCTACTTGCTCTTCTCTTTCACAAATCCTGAAAATGGTATTTTTACTTTTGCAAATGTATGATTTAGTTTACTTGCATCTAGGTTTTTCAGGGGAACCAGATATCGTAGTCTGAAGCTATTTCTTTATGTTTGCAGATCTCTGCAGAAGGCAAGGGGATGGCTTGTATTGCCAACATGTTGAACATCACTAGGATCTATAATACCATCTTTGCAGTTCATCATATGAGAAGGTAATTTTCAATCCACCCCCTGAGAAGTGGAAGCAACTAGGAAGAACTGGGCAAAATTAGAACCAAATCTGTTCTGTTCTGAAGGATAATTAGGCAAAGCTTAATTGGCACGATCAATTTGAAAATGTAGTTTGGAATCTCCTGACTTCCAAACTGCTACTTGAATACTCTTGTGGAGTTTTTTAACTTTTCATCTTTTAACTTTTCCAAATAAAAGTCTGCTTGTGGATCAGTTTTATTTATGCATATTACAGATGTGAGTGGATTTGGGACTTGACCATAAATTGGACTTCATTTATATGTGGGATAGTCATTTTCTTACAGAGAAGGGCTAGCTTTTATTTTTAAAACAATTCTTGTCCCTAAAGGCCATGGGAGATGTGACGTCACCTGAAAATGTTGGTCTTCAGGTCTTCAGTAAGACCTGAAGTAAAGGAATACTCAGGTGTATTAAGTATTTCAACATCTTCCCACATGTATTTGTGAACTTTGTTTTAAGCAAAAATAATATGCCAAGAAAAATACCCATTTTGTTCTCCAATATTGGCAGCATGTTCCTGAGTGGAGGGATTGTTCCTGTAGTCTGTATGAAGAGAAATGGAAATAATTTTGCTACCTAGAAGTTGCATTGATAAAGAGGAAAAGTTCTTAGCATTTTTATTATATTAATGTTATGCCCCTCCAGTGTATAACATTATATATTGACTTCCAGTGTATAATATTATATACTGATTCCCCTGATGATTCAACTTAATTAAAGAATGAAATTAAATTCTGGGAAATATCAGAAATAAATTTTAAGTAGGAGCAAAGGCAACAGTTAATCCCTGTGGCTGGCTTTGTTCCCATCCATAGAATTGTCGACCTGGCACGGGATTATGCCACCAAAAGAGAAGCCTTTGGAAAACCCCTTAAAGATCACCCTTTGCACATGCAAACTATGGCACGAATGGAGGTGAGCACACACCCTCTTGGGTCCAGGTGTACGTGGGAAAGATTCCAGCATGTTCTCCTACTATTGTTTGGAATCAGATGACAGTGTAGGGAAAGTAGCATACAATTGGAGAACTTTAACAACAGAATGAAGCATATAAGATTCAGAAAGTTTAACCCACTATAGAAGGAGAGGAAGTTTGCTGTCGTAGTGAGGGCACAAGGCTGGGAAATTGGGAGTTTGAGTTCGACCTTAAGTCCAAAGCCAGCAGGGTGACCTTGGGCCAGTCATGCTCTCTAAGCCCTAGGAAGAACCAGCAGGCAAGGGCAAATCACTTCCAAAAATCTTTCCAAGAGAACTGTAGGGATTTGTTCAGGGATTTGCCACACACAGGGAAACTTACTCCAGGTGGTTGTAGAGGGAGGAAGCGGGGGGGGGGGGAAGGGAGGAAGTTGCCAGCCTTGCTCAGACAAACCGCCTTCCCACTTGTGCAGGTGCAGACCCAAGCAGCGTTCCTGCTGGCGATGGAGCTGGCGAGACTGCTTGGCCTGGAAGAAACGAAGATGGCGACGGAGCAGGAGAAGCACATGCTGAGGCTGCTCACCCCTCTCGCTAAACTTTATACTGCAAAACAGGTCACACTCAGTTTGATGCACCATGATGGCAAACCTTAGCTCTGCTGTGCATGCATGCACATGCGTGCATGGCGGGAAGCACCCATGCGCATGCGCTTTGGGCACTTGATGCCCAAAAGGTTATCCATCATTGGGCTAAGCGATGTCCTCGACTGGCAAAGAGGGCACCTCTACAGGGCAGATGTTCATGGGAGCTGAGGGGAGGAAAAATCTGTTATATTTCTGACTGGATGTTTAGCCATTGAGTCTCTTGGTTCAAAGAATTGGGAATCATTGTCAGCCCCTCTTCCCCTAACGTTTATTCAAAGGCATCCGTTTTAGTCACAAAGTCATGAATTCAGATGCCTTTGAATGAAATGGGTTTGTCAGAAGAAGAGCTAATGGATTAACATTTACATATCTGGTGGGCTGTTGTTTGTGCTTCTCCCAGCCTGGCATATTTGTCGGATGTGTAAACAAGTCAGTTTGTATTTCAGGCTATCGCTGTGGTCTCAGAAGGCCTGGAATGTTTCGGAGGACAGGGCTACATGGAAGACACAAACCTGCCTGCCATTCTTCAGGATACCCAGGTGAAGAAGCACTGGAGTTTTTTGTTTTTTTTTGCTTCTTCTACTTCCTTCTTTCTTGCAGCCTGGTGCTATTTTAGCGGGGGAAAGCAGCAAGAGAAATTTGCACCTAAGTTCCTTTGTTTCACCTTTTCTTCCTGACATTAGCTTGTTATCGCAGAGTTCTGAGATCATGAAGAAAAGGGGGAAAAGTAATTCAGGCCTCTTATTACTCAGAAAGTTCTTTCTTGAGGAATGCAGTCTCATAATGAATATAATAAACTGAACATTTGTCTATGAAAAAAATAACAGTGGCATTCCGTCACGCTTGGAGGTGTTCCAAATACTTGGAAACAAATCCCTTACAAAGGAGTGCTTAAATGCACATTTGTAAAGTCATGACTGACAGCTGTTATTACTTTTAAGCAATTCTAGTGAGAATAACACATAGAAATGCAGAGCATTTATTCATAGAAATATTAAAAAAAACCTCCTTATTCATGAGTCTTTTTGGTGCTAGACTAGGAATGGAAAACCCAAGAAAACCATGGAAGCTATTGGGAAACTTTGGGACAGTTATGCCTGGTCAGCCCAGCCTCCAGGTTGGTGCTCTGGCATTTATTTCTTGAGCTCTGTTTCCGTTTCACTGCCAGGTGATGTCAATCTGGGAGGGAACCACGAACATCCTGTGCCTGGATGTTCTGCGCTGCATTTTCAAGAGCCAAGGAAAAGTGCTGGATGTCTTTTTCTCCACTGCCCAGGTAGGCACCCATACCCGAGTTTGTCATACCACCTATAAATGTTAAAATTTGAGGTGTACTTGGTAGGAGCAACAGGCTCAGTCGGCCTCATGTAAAACTGAGGTGGTCCTTGTTGACGTCGATGTGCTGCTATTTAATGTGTCAGAACATATGATTGGGGAGGCATTGTATTAAGTAAATTTGAGCTAAATGCCAATGATTTAAGATCAGTTCTACTAGTCCCACCCACAAATTATGGGTAGGTAACACTCAAAAGACCAGCACGGTCCTTAGCCTGAACAAAGCTGTGACGCTGATCTCCACAGGTACTTAGGTCACCAGCTCATTTTGAGGTGCCACTAAACATATCCTTATTTTATTTGCAACCATCTTGGGGGGAAATAGAGAATCCTATTTTCAGAGAAGTAGCAGCCGAGTAACCTCTTTTGCTAGCCGGACGTACTGTGAGTTATTAGGTGTGTTTGTTCTGGGGGTTCCTTGCAGACCAAGTTGGAGGCAGCTACTCAGCAGTCCGAACTGCAGGCTTCCGTGCAAATAATTCAGAATAATCTGCAAAAACTCAAGCAGTTTGTTCGAAGAATGGACTCAAAGGGAGAAGCTGGCTGGCAGCTTGCAGCGAGAGACTTTTCCTATACTTTGGCATGGACCTATGAAGGTAATGAAAGAATTGCCTCAAAATCTTGTGCTTCCTTACCACAAAAATCATCTCCAGTGGTTGAATGTTGCTCAGAAAGACTCTGAAACAACCCAGCATTCGGGGTTTGGATGCAGCGCTTATAAAAGGACAAATATTTTCCAGCACAAAAAGCTCTTGTTGTAAAGTTGGAGCAGACAGGAAACCAAACCTGATTCCAAGCCCCATAGCTGATGGCAAGCAGGCTAATTAGAGCATCATTAAAAACTAGCCTGTGGTAAGTGCAGCAGCCCCGAAGGTGGCAGTGGGGTGCTACTCTTCGAAATCTAAGAACACCAAAGATAACCGTGCAAGATTGGATCGATCGAGGAGTCAGGGAAAGCCACAGGTTTTGAGCTGGGATTAAATTTGACATCAGCAAAATTAGTCTTCTCTTCTATAAATGGGATTTGAAGCAGCGCAACCCTTGGGGTTTTAAGTCAAGAGCTCAGCCAAGCCTCTTATTTGTCGCCTGTAGCTGCTGCATCACCTTCCTAGGCATACTTCTGACTATTTAACAAGCTCAGTATTCTTTCCGAATTCCATAGCTCATGCTGTGAACCGTTCTCCCCAAATCCAAGCTTGGCAGTGGCAAAAGAAGCAGCGGGAAGACCTTTCTTTAGGAGAAAGGGGTTCCTGGAATGCCATTAATGGGAATTAATCAGAAGACTTTACAAGGATCTTGCAAATTATTCCCCACAGTGGAGAATTCCCCATGGGGTCAAGTGTGGAGCTGATTCAGGTTACAGGGTAGATCTCATTAGGATGACGGATCAGAAATGTCCATAGACTGTGTGTTTAATTCCCACAGGAGTCCTTCTACTGGAGCATGCCGCCAGGGCTGGTGCATCAGACACAAACATCTACGCTGCTCAGAGGTATTCATTAAATCTAACACCAAGACTGAGAAACCCAAAAGATTGCACACACTAACGTGGGAAACGCGCATCCTGACTTGCCTAGGCGCACGCCATTTAAGTGAGCGGCAAGGGCTTGTGCACGCTGGCCGCTCGCATGGAACATCCCCTCTCCCCCCTCCCCACCGGTCCACAAAGCCGCCAACATTGGGAAACTCTGTTCTAACTGGTTGTGTGAACAAGTTCCCTTCCTGGGTTCTGGGGAAATCATTCACCTCTGTCCTAATGAGCGGGTATGCAATAATTTGTTTACACCAACTCAAGATGCTCAGCCAAAACCTGTTTCTCCAATTTTTTGATATATATGTGTCATTAAGCTCAAGGCTTAATCAAAGCTTTGTGTTATATTCTTACTGAATGTTGATTGTCGCAGACCTGCCATCAGTAGTTAAGATGTGCCATTACCTTTCAATCATAGGAGCAGGAAGCAACGTTCAGGTAGATGGGTCTGAAACTAAGAAATCCTGTTTTAATTTGAAGACAGAAGGCTTTCTTCTCTCTTCTACAGGTGGTGTCAGGAGAACGTCTGCCTTGTGGACAGAGAAGAGAAGGCTGGTTCTTACAACTCTGAAGCAGTTTCCCTGGATAAATCTTTGGTTTATGATGGGTATTCTTCTCTGCGAGGAAAGCTGTAGCAAAGTATTAGGAATGTGAAAGAAGCCAACATGACCTGGGTGAGAAGTGTGTCTGTATTATGTATGCGTATACGCGAGTCTCAAGTTTTCTTTTCAAAACAAGTTTGAAGGGACCCATGTAGACAACGTTCCCACATTAAAAGCGCCTCCATTGTACGTTAAATGGTCAGTTGGCTTCTGAACTCACAAACTGACTTTTGAAATAATTTTTAAAGATAGAAACAGTGTCACTGCTCTACTTTAAATATATAATTTTAAGCAATCTTTCCCATTTCTTGCTCTCTGGATCTGCTGGCCTTCAACTCTCATGTCTCATAGAACAGGTTATCCACTAGGCAATGGCAGTTGAAGGACTCAGTAAACCACTTAGAGAGGGGCTGGAAAGTACTGCGAAGTGGTATATAAGTCTAAGTGCTATTGCTATTACCATAATTAGTAATCTAATTGCTGGCAGCCTTTGAAACTCCTCTATTTAGCATTACAACTAAAGATACAAACAACAGAACAGAGAGTAATTAAGCACTTAAAGCAGTTCAATTTTTTTAATTTTTTAAAAAACTATTTTAATTGGTACAAGAATGTGAACTACAGTAACCAAATGGAGACAACCGGATACCAAATAATAGTGCCTTTGCTCTTTAAAAAAAAATCATTGGACTTGCTGATGCTGGACTTGATGCAATGGACCTTTTCTTGGATATAATTTCCATAAAAATAAACTTTATTCTGACTCTTCTGCTTTACTGTATTCCACATTTTTTTTTCATGAAGATCCACTGTTGATTTCCTTTTGAGTTGAGTTCCTGCATTCCTTTTATCTAGACGTCAACCATGAAAACTTCCATAAATTTAAACGTCATACTTCCCGTGGTCAGCTGTTGCTGATGAAGCAAGTCCCAAATTACTGGAATTATTTGCAGATCTGGATAGTGGAGGATCTAAGTTCTGTTTGCAGGGAGAGCTTGCTTTTAAATGTTTACTGAGCTGAGGGGAAATGGATGCCTCTGTTTAGTAAGGGCTAGTACCGTTTAGATGTTATAAGATTCACCCAAAATGTCAATGGATACCTGCTGTAATGGTTGAGTTACTGACACCAAGTATAAGAACAACAATGGGAGGTACAGCTGCCCAAAAAACATAACTGGCTAGTGCAGAACAGCTTCACTTTTCCAATGTTGTTTTGATAAAGAAAACAAAAAGCACCAAGAACAATTTTTCCAAAAGGATGTTCCAAAAAAAAAACCCCAGCTAAAAGCAACCAACTAACACAAAAGACCTTAAGTTAAATTGGATTACAAAGGTCATATGCCAGCATAAAGCACAACTTTTACTGTGGATGTTCAGTCTTTCATTAAACCTTCTTTCTCGGATGGAAGCCTCTGATTGCCATTCACTCATCCAGAAGCTGGCTGGCTTGTTGGTCTCACCGCAGTGACCAGAACCAAAGTATAAAACTATCGGCACCCAATCATAACAAGAGAAACCCATGATGTCCCAGTTAAATACCCCACCCCCCAAACAAAGTCCACATCCCCAACAGAACTAATCCGATTGGCTGGCTCAGTGGCCTGGGGGAAATTTCCATAAAAACTTCAATGACTTACCGTCCTTTCAGCCAGGTAGGATTCCTGATAATTGGAAATCCAGAGAAACTGGAAATATTAACTGTATTCCTCTTTGTGGAATTCCAAATGACTGCAGAGTTGCAGCCTGCAAATCTTTGCCAGACCCACACATTCACAAGAAGTCTCACCTAGGTGTGTACACTGAACCGGCTGAGCAGAGAAGGCAGCAAAGGAAGGTTTTAAACAACGTGAGATTTGCCAAATAGTACAAATGGGGGAGAGAAAAAAAGTTCGTTTATTAATATGAATTGTGTCGCTTGAGAAACCCCAACTATGGAAGGTGGGGTTAGCACAATTAACTGGGAAAACAAAAAAGCGATGCTGTGGTGTCGTTATACTGGACAGGCCATTGTGTCTTCACAAGTGAGGATTGTAGCGCTTCTAACTTTGTCTTTTCAAACTACGTTCAACAATTCTCAGGAAATTGATTCAAGTCCTCCCCCCACCCAGCCTTCAGTCCCAAAGGAGGACACCAAATTTTTCAATCCCGCAAACTTTGCAAGGAAGAAGATTAATAGGGACCAGGAACAGATAACAGACTCCCATTGAAGATTTACTAGCTTATTCCAAAAAGAGAAATGAAGGGAATCTGGTCTAAGTTTCAATTAATGAAAGGATTCCTTACAGTGATCTAGGAAAATAAAATTGTCTGGTTAGTTTTTAAATGTGATGGCCTTGAAATTAAGGGAAGTTTGAGCAAGATAGAGACCTCCAGATTGACCTATACAAGGATTGGGACATATAAAAATTAGGAAGTAGCTCAACAATTGTTCCTGTATGCAATCTCTAAAGTTTATTTCATTTTTTCATATATATATTTAAGCATTCTAGAGTATTGAAGTCTACATTTGACAAAAAGTAAAAAATATAAAATTTTGCTCTTTTGAAGATCTATGCAATTCTCTCTCTCTCTCTCTCTCTCTCTCTCACACACACACACACACACACACACACACACAGAGTGAGTAAGCGAGCGAGCTGGGTTTCCTGCTTCACATCCAATGGGAGAAAATATGAATAAAAAAGTGCTCCATTGATTCAAAAGACTAAGAGCTGCAAGCGTTTATTCACACTGTACATCACAGACCCCCAAAACCCGTATTGGAACCCCTTGGCACCTCTTACAAACTGCTGAATCTTAGACCTTCTTTTCGCCATCTGTTTGTACCATAAAAACTCTGGCTTAAGTGCGTCACACAATACCATTCCCCTTTATTATTCTTGTTTGTTTGTTTGTTTTAAAATGTCTCGCTGCACACCAGTTGCATTGGGAAAACATAGATTAGCCAGCTGTATGTCATTTCAATAACCTGTTTCCACATTCCCAACCTGGAACGGTGTATCTCTGCTGATTTTCTCAGAGTGTTTTCTTCCTTTTGGGGGGGAAGGGGGGAACCACACTGAAATTTTGTACCGGCCTCCCAGTTGGAAGAAGACAAGGAGTGCCAAGAAATTACATCCTGCCTGCATTAAGGAGACAGCGCCTCTGGAATTTGGATCCTTATTTTCAAATGTCTTCCCTGCATTATTTTATTCAATGCAAGACATGCATCCTTCACAACCAACCCGGGAAAACTGAAACATCAAGAATGAAAAGGACTGACATCTTCCTTCTTGGAATCAGTATGAAAACGAAAACTGTTTGACAAGCCTCACTTTTATATTTCTTCCTTGGCAACAGGCTCACTAAACCAGTTTCCCTTGGGAAGGCCAGTCTGGTTATTGCCGCACAAACGCTTAGAATAGCTTAGGTGTTGTGTTTCTCGTTCTTTTTACGCCTGTTGTTGTGTAGCTTGCTCTTTTTGGCTCTTGCAGAGCTTCGTGAGCTTATGGCAGTTATGGGTGTGGGAACCTCCCACCAGGTAGTACTCAAGGCCAGGGTGTAGATCTGCGCTGTGTGAAAATGTTGCAGAGAAGGTATACGGAAGATGTTTGAAGTGTGCCGACACAGAAAGAAAGGAACTGCATGTACTGATCTAAGTTCTCTAAGACGAAGCAGGCGAGGACAAAAAGAAGAGAACCGATTCTGGATGGATTCGAGCATCTTATCACAGATTATAAATTCTCTATTAAAATTCTTCCTCCCACTCCAAAACCATAAACTGAGCATATTTTAAAGAGTGAAGGGGGGGAAATACAAAATTTAGAAAAATAGGAGGACTCTGCTGACGGGATGACAAAGTTAGCAGGAGGAAAAGAGGTTCAGATTGTCATGTCTTTACCTAACGCCTCATTTTGGGGGCACCAGCAAACCTACTTTTTCTAACCAGCTCTAGAGCAAAATAAAACCATCCCCCTCTTGCTTCATGGGGTTGTTTTGTGAAAAGGACACCGCGACGCCATTAGGCCACCTGACTTTGCACATAGCCTACTGAGTGCAGTGAAGCAGCTCTACTTTCTGTGTAAACTAGGTTTAAAATGTGGGCAAGGAGAGGCATTTCAAAAGCTACCGTCAAAGCCTAGGCACCGATTCCTTTACAAAATAAAAATAAAAATGGATGTACAGAATTTTACATCGAGGGTGCTGGCTTAAAGGCACCCCTTCTCCTCTCGCTTCCTCTCAAAGCAAGCAGGCGTCTTCTTAGCCCTCGGCCACACAGGGATGCCCAGTGTGGAGATCTGCAATCCACCCCTTGCATTTGGGCAACGAGAATAATCCAGCCCGCTCCTGGAGGACAGAGAGGGGAAAAGAGTCCTTTTGAGAAGGCCATTTCCGTTTCTTCTAGCAGCAACAACTCTCCAAACAGCAAGGGGCTGCTGAGAAGTCACAGGAGTGACTGAAAGCACTAGTCCTAATGCTACAGCTATTCACAATCTCTCTGGCAATTCACCTTCCTCTCTTCCCGCAAAGGGAGAACAGCCTAGCCTGCCTGCGGTGCAGGGCAGGGAGACTCCCCCACTAGACCCATTTCACAGTCTTCCTGCAAAATCCACACTAAATTTACATGAGAAGGATGGAAAGGGAATGGGAAGTAACAGTGGGGAAGGACTGCTCTGTCAGAATCTACCTACCCATCATCCTCTCCCTGTCTCTCTCTCTCTCTCTCTCTCTCTCTCTCTGAACAGTAACCTGTACTTCCAGCTCAAAGTGCATAGCTCCTCCAATCCTACCAGCTTCAGTCCACCGGCAATCGGTGTGTCTCCTCAAGGGACAAAGGCAGCTTTGTCTCCTCCCAGCTTTCCTTCCAGGCCGGAGCCTCAGTTTGAGGTGGCAGCAATGGGTTTGTCCAGTTCGAGGTCAAGGCTGGCACTACTGGGGTGCAAGCTGCTGTAGCAGGTTTTGCAGACCCGGCTGGGTTCGAAGAGCTGTTGGCTGGGGACCGGCGCCTTCTGGTTACAGCAGCTGGAGCAAAACACATTTCCACAATTCCTTTGGTCAGAAACGGGAAGAAGAAGAAGAAGAAAAAACACGAACATGAGTTTGCAACGCAGAAACACAATTTCTATACAAGAACAGCCCGGATTTAAATTAGGCGGAACGGAGTCTTCCTGGAGAGAGAAGAACCCCAGGAGTAGAGGTCTGAGTTCCTTCCCTTCGGGGATGCGCCTTTTCCTGCAATGCAAGGTTCACGAGCAGGAGGAGTGAACAGGAGGCAGGGAATCCCTTCTGGATCGTCAACACGTCTCTGCTGGCTGCAAGGGGACACTTGAACTCTGCCTCCAGATGATTCCCCAACATCAGCACCAAATGATCCTGATGGTGGCAAGCAAACCACGTTGCCTGAGAGAAGTTGTCAGGACTCGGAGGGAGTCTACTGCAGCACACCCAGGCCTCAGCACCAGAAAACGTGAATCTGCCATGCAAAAGTCACGCAGAAAGCTGCAAGGGAAAACAAGACGCCGTCCATGTGTCGCGAGCGATGGATGCAGCAGCTGAATCGACTAGCCAGTGGTCAATCAGCAGGGCCATTCTAGCACATGCACCTGGTCTGGGTCACCCGAGACAATGCACCTTCGTTGCTTATGGCGCCACTTTCTCAAACCGAACTGGACTGAAAAAGGACCTTTTGCGTTTCACCCCCAAGTTTTATTCCTAGGGAGATGTGATGCTGGAGAAAAGGATGTAACTGAACAAGTGTTCCCCACCCCCACCCCACCCCCTGAACTTTTGGTTTAAATTTTAATACTTGGCTGTGATTTTGTTTCTGTTATCCATAATCTAACTGCAAGCAAAGGGAGCCTTTTAATATATTATCGAGCTGAAATCTTTCTATTAGGAAATACAAATTCGGCTGGGATAAGTTATTCCAGAGCCTTCTTATGGATTCAAACAGGTGCTGCTATTACAAAGAAAAGTTTTTAAAAAAAACGAATAGGAGGGGAGCTTTGGTAAAAGAGAAGGAAAAACATCCCAAGCCAAAGCAATCCTAAAGTAATTCTCTTCTTAAATAAATCAGCATTGCTATTTCTGTGATATTTTGAGAAGCAAAGGCTGTTAGTGGATTCTTGCCTGGGTAAATCTCAAAAAGATCCTATTACCTCCAAAGAAGACTCAGGCCCACTAACCTGATCCTTTTGCCAAAATCCTAAAACTGGCTGGTGGGACTGATAGAAGGGAGCCAGAGTCCTTGATAATCCACATGACTAGCAAAGGGGAACCTTTGGACATGATTGCTTTATCTCCCAACCATTATGTTTTAGTTAAATTTTATCCCTTGGTGTTAAAAGTTTGTTTAGTTCTTTTATTTGCTTTTCGATTTGGGCCTGATTGTTCCAGAACCCGTGAGCTACCATCAGCTGCCCCATGACACCAAGAAGACCAAGACCAAAATAATCTGCTGATGGAGCAGTGTACATGAGCCAGCTGCTGTTGCAAGGGAAACATTTCACAGGTTAAGACAATGGCAGCACCCAACGTTAAACAAAAAGCCGTGGATTCCACATCCTGTCGGCTGCTTGTGGTGGTTTATGCTTTCTGGGAAAAAGGAAGCGCCGGGCCCGGCCAGGGGGAGAGGCAAATGTTAGTCCGGAGAGCTGACTGGAAAAGGGCAGACAAGACAACAGAGGCCAAGGCAAATGCTCACCAACTCTGATCAACATGTTCGGGATCCCTGCAGGGAGGGGAGAAAAAGCTCAGAGCAGGCACTAAACCAGAGAAGTTTCAAAAGTACCACTGATGCCTTTGGAGGGTTTTTTGGCCTGGAAAGTGGGGAACTTGCGGTTCTCCAGATCTTGCAAGCTTCAGGTCCCGGAAACCTCAGCCGGCATCACCAATAATGAAGGATGCAGAGGTGTCTGAAGGGCTTTGGCTTCCCAACTTGCCTGAGAGTGGCATTAGACAGTCTTTAAAAAGAAACGGGTCACTTCTCCATATTGTACATTATAAGGAAATACTCTTTGGGGAACACATTCAGGTCAAAGGTTCTTACGCACCCATGTTATCCACCCGTTGAGGCTCTCTGCTACACCTCTACATAGCAGCAACTCTGAGCTCATCTATTGCCAGTCCAGAGGCAAGAACCCATGCAGAAACACAGGTGGTCCCCCGTGAGGGCTGTTCTTTAACCAGCCTGCACAATCCAAAGTCTAAGAAGACTTTGGGAGCTTTAAATCAGCAAATTCTCACTATAGATCCACCAAGGAGTCCAGAGGTCCAAAGGCCTAGTGGGAATTGCAAAGTGCTGTCTTGGCGGCAACCAAGGCGGGGCTGCATTGGGAAGCACAATACCTGCAGTGGTGTTTTCTGCTGACAAGCCAGAAGACACTGTCACAGCCGTAACAGTGTGCAGCCAGGTGATCGGGAAGCCACCGTGTCACCTACAAAGACAAGAGAGCCCTTGCTTTCAAATGTAACACCAGCACGTCAGCATCAAAGCAATGAGACAAAAGCGAAAAATGAACGGATTGAGAAGCTCCAGCGGATGAGAGGGAGGAGAGGAGGAGGAGGAGGAAACACTTGAAGCTTCTTCTGGCAGAGAAACCCCAAACCCAGGTGACTCGATCTCTGAGAAAGCCATCACATGCTCCCTTCCGCAGGCAAGTGCCCAAATCCCAAAACGGCTTTCATCACTTCCCAAAGATGCAGAGTGGAAAGTAAGAGAGTCTTTGACATGGGCAGAGAGGGGGAAACGTTTTTGAGACAGCTGCCGAGTCGAGGAGGAAAGCCTATCAAGACCAGTGTTAGGACCAGAGGGAGGGAATCACAGAGCGGCATCGTTAGTATATTGTGTGCTGATTAGACAAGGAGAGGGCTCCGGAGACGGATGGAGGCCTGTACCTCTGTGTCCTGTTTATCCACCTGCTCCCAGCTGGCTTCAGAGAAAATCTCTGTACTGCAGCGAGACAAGCAGTTGTGATCCGGATTGCTTTCTGAGTCAGGCACTGAAGTCTGTTGGCAAACAAACACAGCTGAGCATAACCTACTCCCAGTCCACGGAAGGGGTTAGCAGCTGAGAACAGGGCCTCTTCTACATCTGCTGTGGGGAGCAATCGGATCAGAGGTTGGGAAAAGCAGGGTGGGAAAACTGATCCTATCAAGCTCTGGAACACGGCCTCCTGCAGAACACGGAGACTGATGTCTGTCTGTCACGACTGTCTGTCTGTCTATGTTATTTATTACCCGTCTATCCATCATCTATTATTTGTCTGTCCACTGATCCATCCATCATCTGTCATCTATTATCCAGCCATCCACCTATTTAAAAAAAACCTTACAGTGAACCAAATACACATTGCTACCCGAAAAGCAAACAACTGTCTTGAAGATCTGTGTAAACCTCAGTAGAAAGTATACTGAGAAAACTCGGACAAAGAATTCAGCAGGGAGAGGATCCGGATCAGATGATGGTCTTACGCAAAGGACTCAAGAGAACGTTGCTTCTGATCTAACTTGCTAGACCAGCCAGCTGGCTTTCTAATCCAAGTTTACTTGTTACATAAATGCAGATCAGTGTTTCTCAACCTTACAAAATTTAAGACGTGCAGACTTCAATTCCCAGAATCCTCTGTTCAGTTCAACCAATTTCCAGTTTATTTGACAAACCTGATTTGGTGAAGTTCGCCTTAACCAAACGGGAGGAACCAGTTAAGAGACTGAACAAGCTAGAAAAACACCCCCTTCCCCAAATGAAAGAATTAAATGAAGCCACTGTTAAAAACAATATCTTTCCCCAACCAAACGTTTACTGATGAAACACATACACCTCCTTCAAAATAAAGTAATTAGCCTTTTAAATAGCTCTGAAGATGCCCCAAATGATTGAGAATTCACCCCAAAGGACCAAACCAGAGAGCTGTTTCAGCTGGGTGGCCTTCAGTGCTGGAGACCCTGTGCTCTATGCTTGGGGGGCTGACAGGGTAGGGAAAATCTCTATCCTCCCCCCTCCCATGTCGCCTATCCTCTAAATTTTTAATTTCTCATTTAATCTTCATTGTTTCATACTATCTTCCTTTTAAACCTTGTCATCATTTTGTAAGGCGCTCGGAGTTGCTCCAACAGCGAGGGGCAGCATATAAATTTAATAAATAAACCAAACCAATCAGTGATAAGTCACCGATGGGCTCCGCGTGCCCATGCAGCCCTTGGTTTGGGGCTGTTCTCAGTGCTGCATTTCTGCCCTGGATGGTGCGGTTGGCACGAGCCGAGCCGAGCCGAGAAGAAGAAACTCTTGTACATACTTACCACTTCATCCCCGTACTCCCCGTTGAAGCGCAGTGAGCTGTTCAGATACTGGCTTTCCAACCGGCTCTTTAGCTCCTGCACCTGCTTCTTCAAGCTCTCCACCTCCTGCTGGTGCCCGCTTTCAATCTGTCGGAGGCGCTGCTGAATGACGTCGGTGTAGATGGGCATCCCGTCGTCATCTAGGTGATTCCGGGCAGGCTGGTCCGGGCTGCCTCCTGTTTGCTGCCGACCCGGGATGGCGTGAACCCATTTGTGGTGGAGGTTCCTTAGATGCGGCGGGGTGGAGATCTGCCGGCCGGGGGGAACCTTCACCCTGCTTTCTTCGCCGTTCAGGCAGTGCCCGTTGGGCGCGGAGTATTTCTGAGGAGCAGCAAACCCTGCTGGGCTCTCCGCCATCTTGTTCTCGGATGCCAGGTCTCCATTGCACACCACCTCTTTATAGTCCGTTAAAGGCAAGGCACACAGGGAAGGGTTGCTGCTGTAAGGAGTCCTGTTTAGAGCTGCGGCCAACTTGTGTGCATCCATCAAGTCCTCCCTCTCCAGCCGATTCTCCACCATCTGGGAAAGATCACTGACGCTGTTTCCCGCGGGGCGATGCCAATGGGAAGGCACCTTCTGTGTGCTTTCTGCCCTGGCTCCTGTTTCTGTTAAGGTCTCGGTCGAGCTCTCCATATTTGGTGTGGCCACCTCAAGTCCTACAGGCAACAGTGGGATGGGATGGGCAGGACTAGAAGCATTTTCTGCTTCTGCTGAACTACTACTGGTATTAACACCCTCCTCCTCCTCCTCCTCCTCCTCTTCCTCCTCTCGTGAAACTTCGCTATTTCCAGGATTGTCCCAAAAGCCAAGTGGAAGCTCTCCCCACTGAGATGGCTTCTGGACTGTGCAAGGGACAGCTGGGTGACCCTCCTCTTGCCCTTGGAGCTCAGAAGCACCCTGTGATACCACCTGTTGATTAGAAAGTGGATTGTCTAATAAGGTTTCTGCATCCGGGTTGGACTTTTCACAAACAGTAGCCGAACCAGCCAGGTATTCAGTCCTGTGTTCCTTATCTAGCGGGAGATCCCCTTCACCCTCCTTCCCTGCCCTTTCCTGATTACACCTCGTATTCTCCTCAAGGCTCCCTTCTTCTTTGGTGGCTTCTTGCAAGATGTTTTCCATCTGCCCCTCGGCCACCGCTACCGAAAGCTCTGCTCCAATCAGAGTCCTGCCTTGTTTGCCCAAACTTTCGCCCTCAAAGAGGTCATCTCCCGGGTTCCCGAGGTTGCTGAGCTCCAGGGATCGGCGGTGTTCCTGCCATTTCTCGTTGAGGCTGGGGTCGCTGCTACGCCGGTTGGTGGTGGGTATGCTGCTGTCACAGGCTGTGGTAAGATTGTCAAAGGACCTGGTCTTTGGTAGCCTGCAGAAGAACAGCAAGAACAATCGAAGATAAGTTTAACTTTCTTATACAGCTCTTATATAAGAGGCTGGAAACCGCTGGTGGACTTTCTACGCGCTAAATATAATGAGAGGGTTAACAGAAAGATTTGGAGGTTAGTGTAACACCCGTTCTCTAATTCATATGTGTGTGCACGCGTGCAAATTCTCCTCCCCTTTTACATGTGTGGTGTGTGTGTGTGTGTTGGCATACACATACACACACACATAAAAAGGGGGAGGAGGATTTACTGCTTTTTCTTTCTTTTTTTCCCACCACCCAGCTAGGGTAGATCGTACTTGTTAAATTTACTTGAACACTTTTTCCTCTTTTTTCTTTATACACTATTTTTTCCCCCACTTTTATTTTTTAGGGTTGAATGCATGTTTTTGTTTCATTTTGTTTGTCTGTTTTTCTGTTCTGTATTTTACTTTTTAGGACAAAACAAATACACACACACACACACACACACACACACGTAAGTTGAACTTTGTAGGAGAGTTGTTGGAGGCGGTGCTTTTCTGCAAACCAGTACATTTTTACACTTTATACACTGTTGCTGTTGGTTCAACGTGTGTACAGTGAAAGGGGCACGGCAGATCTCCTGAAATCCGGGCTCACCTGCTCAGAGGCTGATCCTCAGGGTTGGAGCCTGGGACGGGATAAGGGGCACAGGTGTCATCCACAGGGGTGGAAGGTGAGGAGCAAGGCAGGTACACGGCACTCCACAGCATTAAGTTGCGCACGTGGCACACAGGATACAGCACCTAAGAAAGACGGCCAGAGACTGAGCCCAAGCCAGACTTACAGTTTGTTTAGTGACTGTTCAAGCAGCACTGAAAAAAGTGACCTATGACCATTTTTCACATTTATAGCCATTGCAGAAGACCCATGGTCACGTAATTTATATTGGGATGCTTGACAACTGACTCACATTTACGATGGTTACAGTGTCCACTTAGCAACCGTGTGACTAACTGCAGCGATTCACTTAACAAACCTGGCAAAAGTTGTAAAATGGGGAAAAGTCCACTTAACAAATTTCTTACTTAGCAACACAAATTTCGGGCTCAAGGGTGGCGATAAGTCGAGGACTACCTTTATTTAAGACTGCGGTGATGTAAAGCATTACGAAGTTGAGGTTATGTGAATTGTAATTTTATTATCATCAGAAGCAAAGGAGCACCCCTTCATTTGGGGGTGGGGAGTTATAAAGGTCTCCCAGTGGTTCCATATGAAATACAATAACAGTAATTTCTATGGTTTTATATATATGTATATTTTATATTTATATATTTTTCTTTCCTGAGCCAGTAAGTGGCTCAAAAATTTGGGAAAGAAAATTTCAGGCATGCTAAGGTTTTGACACTGCCCCCTGCTGGTCAATATCAGTATGACAGATATTGTTTATCGTTTTCCATTTTCTGTCTGTGTAATTCTCAGCGGTTGAGTGTAGAGGCGCACAGAAATGTTAGACATAAATAAAATATCTGCCTTCCTCTAATCAGGTACAAGTGTAAAGCGATATTCCCCCCACAACTCCAAAGAGGGTAGAAATAGCCAATAAAGCACCAATGCAGAAAAACAAATTAGGTAAGGCTGGAGGAGGCCCGAGAAGAAACCACCAATAAATGGGGCTTCCGGGATGACCTCAGTTGGTGTGATGGAATGAGCACCTGGAAGAGGAGGAATGGGGCCCCCAGGAAGGTAATTCTGGCAGGGCCACCATGGTTTTCCAGGGAGGAGGCAGTGCATTTTGGAGAGAAGACCAAATTAGGAGAATGCACGTTTCCAAGCTGGATGGGAGAGGAAGGAGGTGAGTTCAAGGGACGGGTGAGCCACTATGGCAGCTTTTATGAGCTGCGGACTTCAACAGGTCTGTAGCATGGTTGGCTCAGGAATTCCGGGGGCTGAAGTCCACAGGTCATAAAGTTCCCATAGCTGCCCGCCTCTGCTCTAGAACCTCTCGGGATGTAGCAAGAACACTCTCTGGGCATTTTACAGCCTCTTGCCCCCCCCCTCCGCCCCCCCCCCAACAATCTGGGTCCTCATTTTACCGACCTCAGAAGGATGGAAGGCTCAACCTTGAGCCGGTCAGGATCGAACTGCTGGCAGTGGGCCGAGTTAGCTTGCCATACTGTTATCTATTAAGTTAGAAGTTATAGCTTTAGCCTGGCAAGATTCTGCCCACTAGGCACACAGAAATAAAGGACTGGCTGGGTTTCACTACGTTGTGTCTGGGCTTGGGGGGCCTAACAGGTAGCTGCATCCTCTGCTGAACCTGCTTCACAGGGTAATTGTGACAGTTAAACAGGGAAAAGCGGGGTGGGGGTGGGTGGGGGGGGTGGCTTAGGCCCCTTGGAAGAAAGAAGAATGAATGAATAAAAACCAGTACATACGGATTCGGACTGGGAGGAGTAAAGCAGGTTTTTGAAGGCTTTGTTTCCTCCTCGCAGCAGGGACCACACCGAGCAAGTCCTTTCTTGGGTGTGCTTCTCGCCTCTCTCCTTCGCATTGTTGCACAGGAATGTACCAAAGAGGCAGGAGTAGGTGTGTTGCACTAGCTTGACCTACAAAAAAGGACAGTCCTGGGACCTGGGCTGGCAGAGCCGAACCCCAAGGGAGAGACAATATATTCACTCTTACTTGGAGCCCCTCAAGGTCTGGAAATACACATATTAATGGATTCAACCATTGGCCCCATGGCAGCCTTCTCCATCTTGGATGAAATGAACTTTTTTAAAAGTACAAAGAAAGGAAGTACAAAGAAAGGAAGTACAAAGAAAGGAAGTACAAAGAAAGAAAAATAAACCGTGCACTATTAACTACAATTATCTCATTCCTGTCCAAGAGGTGGTTGAAAACAAGATAATGAAAGATACAAACATCCCCGGAATGTTATCCTTCTATTTTCAAGATGTGCCTCATTCTGATAGTTTGTGTTAGGAATTGGTACACAACACCTACAATTCTATATAGTCAAGTCTTACTGAAGTTATTGGACCTACCCCAAAGCTGCAGCTTAATAGAACTTATCACTCCACTTGCAATATTAAGAATATTCTTGAATGATAAATTATTCAAATGAAAATGTCTCACTGGGAGCTGTCTAAAATACAGTGACAGAAAGAACGGTGAGAATTCAAACTGTTTGAGAACTGGTTGCAAAGTCCTCTAGTTTTGTCTGTTAGACTGAGCTTGATTTGCAAGACCTGCCGTTCTAACAGTTTTTTTTTTGCCGGGGGATATCTCCAAAGAACCCACAAGTTGCAAAATTTTTGCCGACAGAGGGTGCAGCTTCCTCTTACACAATGTACAACCCACAACAATGGAACAAACTGTGACAAAGATTTAAGAGAAGAGCCTGAGAATGGCGATTCATCACTCAAAACTCTTTTTGCCAGAGTAAACAGCAGAGTCAGAGATGAACTGAAGCCCTCCTTTTACTCCAAGGTAGGATCTGGACATTCAGCCAGATTGTGTAGATTCAGCACATTAAAACTGTTGACGCGGGAATTGTTTGCGGGAAAAATAATCGCTTACAAGGAATGCTTCGTTAAACTCGAAGGAGCAGGGGAACTGCCTCTGGAGTTGATGGACGCAGTCGAGCCACTGCAGAAACACGGGGCAGCGTTCGTTGAGGTCATCCGAGTTCTCGCCGTGGCCACAGCGGTCTGCAAACTTATGGCCGAAGTCCAGCCATTCCATCTCCACCAACACTTGGAAACCCTGCGGGAAACAAGACCATCCTCTTTTCAGCTCCTGGATCCCACGGAAGCCATTCTGAGACAACGGTAACCCTCCATGCATCTGACAATCTACTTCAGAGGAGTTTGATCTTCACAACTTTTAAGACCTGTGGATTTCAACTCCCAGAATTCCCCATGCTGGCTGGGGAATTTTGGGAGTTGGAAGTCCACAGGTTTTAAACTTGCCAAGGTTGGACACCCCTGATCTACATGGAATCAAACCGCCACGAAATCTCTGGGGAAGTGTCAACACACCAAGACTGCTTTAGTGCAACAAAGAGGGCTGCGAGTGTGAATCACTTCTGGTTATGTCTCCAAGAGCCAGATCTCTGTCATTTGGCCTTCTCCAGCATTAATCTAAGTCCCTTCAGGGCTCCACCTGCTTCGCTCATCCTGGGACACAATTCAGTGTCTCCCGGTACCCTCTAAACCCTTAACCCTTATTCTGCCGTCCCTTCTTCCAGTGAGCACCACCACAAGCGTTCTAGCTCAAAGCCTCTTCTCAACCCAAAGCCAAATTGCGTTCCCGGATCCAGACCTGTTCCGGAGCGACAAACCTCAACAGTCCTGTAATACGGATCCAGCAACAGCTTGGACAGAGCCACGATCTGCGGGGTCCGATCCCAGCCATCGGAGCAGTGGACCAGGACAGGCCGCTGGTCTCTGTCCACCGTGTGAACCACCAGCAGGGCTGATTTCAGAAGCACAGAGAGATGCTGGAGCCACTTGGTGCTCTCCAGAGCCGACAGCCAGCTGCAGAGGCAGACAAGAGGACAACCTGACTCCGATGGGCCGTTAAAGCACGGAGGGGAGGCTTTCCTGGAAGGAAGGTCGCTGCTCGCTTTGGATTGGGGGGGGGGTGCGGGCGCTAAGGAGTCTGGGATAAAGGAGCGAGAGCGGTGAAAACGTTTATTGTAGCCTTTGACTTAACAACAGTTCATTTAGTGACCGTTCCAAGTTACAGCAACGCTGAAATAAGGGCTTTATCACCATTTTTCAGGCTTACGACTGCCGTAGCATCCTCATGGTCACGTGACCAAAATTCAGGTGCTTGGCAACTGACTCATATTTACGACCGTTTCGGTGTCCCGAGGGTCATGTGATCCCTTTTTGTGACCCTCTGACAAGCAAAGTCAATGGGGAGAGCCGGATTCATTTAACAACCACGTGACTAACTTAACAACCATGGGGGCCTTCACTTCAGAACTGTGGCAAGAAACATCATGATGTGGGGCAGAGCTCACTTAACTATCCTGCTTAGCAACGGCAGTTTCCAGCTCAATTGTGGTCTTGTGTCGAGGACTTCAACTCCCAGAATTCCCCAGCCAGCTACTTGCAGACTTCAACTCCCAGAATTCCCACCGCCAACTATGCTGGTAGGGGAATTCTGGGAGTTGAAGTCCACAGGTCTTACAAGTGGCCAAGGCTGGAGACCCCTGTTCTAAGGCAAGAGGAGAGGAGTGGGGGGGAGCCTGTAGGGCCCACTTACTTTCCCGGGTCCGGCATCTGTGTGCAGAGCAGCCTCAGTGACTGAAAACTCTTCCGAATAGAGTGGATGTTAGCCATCCCCATGAACAGCACTTCACAGTTGGGATAATACTCTGTTCAAAAGCAGAGAAGCGAAGAGAAAGTGGCTCAGGTAAGAGGCCGAGAGGAACCAAATTACAAGCTTCACTGTAGAAACACGCTGGCAACCAACTGGGGCCCGTACTAAGCCCCCTCCCGCCTCTCGGGAGTTTAAAAGGAGATGGTGACAACACAAGGGAATCGTTCCAACACAGTGTCAAGGGAACACGTGTTTCACCCCCTGCCCTGGGCCTGGAGCAGTGGGCTCCATCAATAGCAGGGGAGCTAAACCCAGTCTTTCTGACTGCCAGCAAATGAACTTGGAGGCCTTCCTGGCTTCGCTGGCACTGTGAGCAAATAACAACAGGGAAGGTCACGGTTAAGGTGTCAGCATGGCAGCTGCTAACTGGAGAGGATCCCAGCTCTGCCCTCTCTGGCATCAGTTGCAACAGGAGTGGAGGGCAGGGGGGCGATCCTCAATATTTTTATGGCACTGTCCTTCTTCCTGAACTACCTACCTTTCTGAAGCCGGCCCCCTCAGGTGTATAAATGCATGAGCACCTAGAGACAAATGTAACCTTACCTGGACATTCACAGCCCCCTCCTTTGGCTCTGTTGGCGACTGCAGCTGTATAGGAGCGTGCATCTAAGATCAAAAGCTTCTGAGGCTGGATGGCTAAGCTTTCTGCTCCCGAAGCATTGGAAATGGAAGAATCTGGGGAAGGAACAGGCAAAACAAGAGAGATCATTCCAAGGTAGCTAGCACAAACGGCCCTCCTTCTCCCTAACCCTCACCCATTTTTATCAGTGTTTCTCCATCTCAGCTACTTGAAGATGTGTGGACTTCAACTCCCAGAATTCCCTAGCCAGCCCGCATAGCTGGCTAGGGAATTCTGGGAGTTGAAATCCACCCATGGCTGGGGAATACTGGAAATTGAAGTCTACCCAATTTAAAATGGCCACGGTTGCAATGTTACACTGCCTTATATCAACCGGGAGTCCTCCAGATGTGCAAGGCTGCTATTTCCAGAATTCATAGTGAGCACAAGGGGAGCGACCGTCCCGATGGATGTGCAACAGGATAATTTGGAAAGAAACTTCTTCAGTTTATCTGGTTGTCAAAAAGAATGGTGGGAGATTTGTACCTTCGCACTTACAAGATTCTGTTCAGGAAGCTTTACAATAAAGTAGAAAGTAAGAGCCGTGGTGGTGCCAAGGTTAGAATACAGTATTACAGGCTAATTCTGCCAACTGTCGGCCTCCAGCAGTTCGATCCTCACCGGCTCAAGGTTGATTCAATCTTCCATCCTTTCGAGGTCAGTAAAATGAGGTCCCAGATGGTTGGGGGCAATATACTAACTCTGTAAACCGCTTAGAGAAGGCTGTAAAGCGCTGTGAAGCAGTATATAAGTCTCAGGGCTATTGCCAAATAGCTCCTCAGGTCCCGCTTCCTGTCTGGCCTACCTGACCTCAGTGGATGTTGGCCATTTGCACTGCATAAACAGCCAACCTTTTAGACACAAAGCGAGGCTACCAAGTCGAGCTTACCAAACTCTGCGTCGGAGAAGTCTCCCCCATTGGAGAACTCTCGCGAGCAGTTCCCATTCACCAGTTTACCGCTGCTCGACTTGGAATCGGAGGCACAGGCTTTGGCCATCGACTGGACAAGATGTTCGTCGTCAGCGTTTCTCCAGCCCCACCAGCTGACCTCTGGCTGCCCGCAGCGAGAAATGACCGCCCCGTTGTTCTGGTGCCTGCATGGAAACAACCCAGCACCATTGTAACAGGAACTAATGGCCACAGAGGACAAACAAGCACTTAGAGGAAGGATCCCCAACCTCCAGGCCGTGGCCCCGGAACTGGGCTGCAGAAGTGGCGGGACAGCAAGTATGTGCAGCTCCATTTATGCAAGTGGTGGGTGGGTGTACGCACGGCTCACACAAATGGAGCTGCGTGCTCACTTGCCCACCGCTCATGCAACCCCCCCTCCCCCGCCCCCTCTCCAGTTGGCAAAGCCAGAAAGGTTGGAGAACCACTGACTTAAGAGCCTTAGGAAGCTCTCTGGAGAATTCCAAAGGCAGTTTGGCTTTGTCTATTTAACTTGATGGCCTGTGGAACAACTCTCGATATTGGCCACCGTTGCGATAAAAAGCATGAACTAACGTCCGCTGGGATTTAAACAAGTTTTGTGGACACTGGCGAAGGAACATGCTGCGAGGTCGTATCTGAATATATCGGAGTACTTAGGAGGATCTGAGTTTGGCTTGGTTTTTTTTTTGGAAAAAAATAACTAGGAATGAACAGCACACCCACAAAACATTTGAAAAGTATGCAAAGAGAAAGAAAAACAAAAACTAAGGACTGAATCAGCTTTTGCAGAGAAGTGTGAAATAACCCAGAGCTATCTAGAACTCGAGGCCAGCCGTCAGTAGCTGGGTTAATGCTGAGTAGCCACGTCAGCAGTTTGGACTTGCCTTTTGTTCAAAAACGAGAGAACCGAGGGACTCGACTAGCGTTTATGTAACCTGTGAGGGTCCAAAGTTAGCAAACAAGACCTGAGAAACATTATAATGATCCCTTGCAGACTTCTGCTGTAGGTGATAATCTGCAGAGGATAATCATCCATTTCTACAGAATGAAACCGCATTTAGTCTTGCCTCTCTTGAGCCTGGATTTGAAGGAGGAATCCAGAGCAGAACAGCCTGAAAAATGCCAACATGTTTGGAAAGGGGAAAAGCTGCTCTTCGTACAGAAGTAGAAATTAACTTTTGCTATGTGTCACAATACTTCTTTTATTATAACGCTATCCTTATTTTTAACAGGGCAATAGCCTGTTCGAAAGCTTTTTCTTTTCACCTTGACAGGAATGCAGATAGTCCTTGACTTGTGACCACAACTGTGCCCAACATTTCCATTGCTGAGAATGAGTTTTTAAAGTCAACTTTGCCTCATTTTACAACCTTTCTTGCCATAGTTGTTAAATGAATTATTGCAGTTGTTAAGTGAATCTGGCTTCCTCAATGACCTTGCTTGTCAGAAGGTGACAAAAGGGGGTCAGATGGATAGGATAGGATAGGATAGAACAGAATAAATTAAAAAATAGAATAGGAATTGGAATGGAATATAGGATAGAATAAAAACTTTATTCTCACTTTAAATGTACACCAATATACAGTGACCTTTGGACATTGCAACTGTCATAAATCTGAACTAGTTGCCAAGTGGCCAAATTTTGACCAGGTAATACTGCAGTCGTTAGCTACAAAAACTGATCATCGGTCACTTTTTTCAATGCCGTTGTAACTTCAAACGGTCATTTAACAAATGGTTGCTAAGTCAAGGACTACGTGTATCAATCCTCCCCCGTCTATCCCCAAAGGATGTTCACTCTGACAGCCAAAGGCATCTCCCAGAAGTTTCTCCGAGATCCGGCCCTGGGATTCAGCAAACCGACCAGCAAAAAAAAAGAAAGTCGCCTCTGGAAAGGCCTGACCTGTAAACCACGACAGGGATGCGCTTCCAAGACCGGAAATTGGCCACGCTTTCCAGCTCTTTGTCCGTTATCCAGACAGGCACAATGAGTTCTTGAGGGTAGCTACTGCAGAGCCTAGGTGGAAGGGAAGGGACAAGCCACGTGTGAGCAGGCACATCCTGTTTCTCCTTCCCCGCTGCGGCACACGTGAAAAGAGCAACAAGGGAAAATGCAGCTTTTTTGAGACCAGAAAGATGACAGTGATAATTGCATCCATCTTTTCACTGTTTAGCTTAGGAAAGCTTGATAGAACACCGACAACGGAATGTCAGGTTCTTTCGATCTGCCTGTGGAGACATTACAGCTGTTCCCAAAATGCCAAGGTTGCTTTAAATAATTAGCAGTATTGGCACTGTGATCACAGCCAGGGCCACCTATAGTCAAAATGCCCAGAAATGTTGGGCTTTGACGAGAGCAGGTAGCTTTCTGAAGGGTAAACCTCTGGGATTGTCTGAAGGGCTTACTTGTACTTCTCATTGATGTTGGAGATCCGCCAGGCATTGTTCATGTCAAAACCCATCCGTTCCACTTCGTTTTTGAATCTCGACGCCACGTGCTCGCCTAGGTATCGGAAGAACAGTGAGAAGCAAACAGAAACCGTGCGTGTGTTTGTAGAGTGAGATATTCCCCATGGCCGAACACAACAGCAGAACATTCCTGAACTCATCTTCACTCCTGAGTCTATTCAGGACTTTGAAAAGCTGCTTAATCCCGCCTAACAGCAAACACAATGTTCCGTGAAGCAGAGATGTCCAACCTTGACAACCTTAAGCTGGTAGACTTTCCAACTTCCAACCAGAATTCTGGAAGCTGAATTCTGAGAGCTGAAGTCCACAGGCCTTGAAACTGACAAAGCTGGACGTCCCTGCTGTAAAGTCTTATTTGCTCCACTGGTCTTTGAAGGGAAGCAGAACAATTCCTGGCATGGGATAGCGCCATGTAGGAAGTACAATGCAAATGCTAACTTTGCATCCAGCCAGGTGCTCCACAAGGTCAAAACCCTCACCTTGCACACGAAGCCTATCTTCGAAGAGTCATCAACTCCACTGTGGTACGTCAAACATTCCTCTGTACCAGGGGTGTCCAATCTTGGCAACTTTGGCTTTAGGAGCCGTGGTGGCACCGTGGTTTAGAAGGCAAAATGAGGAGACCCAGATTGTTGGGGGCAAGAGGCCAACTCTATGAACCGCTCAGAAAAGGATGTAAAGCACTGGGAAGCGGTCTAGAAGTCTATTGTACGTGCTGATTGCTATTTAAAACCTGTGGACTCCAACTCCCAGAATTCCCCAGCCAGCCAGCCATGAGCTAATGGTGAGATAGTGCAACCACCAAGCACTTGAATTTTGGTCATGCGACTGTTGCGGAAGCTGCAATGGTTGTAAGTGTGAGCACCAGACATAATTCACTTGTTTTTAGTGTGGTTGTAACTCTGAATGGCCGCTAGATGAATGGTTGTAACTCAAGGACCACATGTAGTGTACTAGGTAATGGTTGTTGTAAAAACAACAACAACAACAACAATAATCCTGTCCTAGTCCTAGCCTGTTGCTGTGCAAGCAAAAGACCCACCGTACCTGGGCGGCACAAATCCCCATGTTGCTCCTTTTCACTGGCGTAGACCTCCATGCACCAGGCATGGTAAGCAAAAGAGAAAACATCCTCTATCTTTGAAGGGGGGCGGATGGCGTTGTTCAGCCGCTTCAGCCACTCTTGACACTGCTCAAAAGTAGAGAACTGGCACCTGCCAAAAAATAAGAATAACAACAACAACCCACATAAAGCCAATTAAAGGCAAGGAATGTTTTAACTTTCCTTCACAGATTTTCAGCTGACGGATGAAATGGGTGGCTAGGGTCAGAGCAGACCGGAAGGAAATTATCTATTGAGGCTTAACCTTTAGGAAGAACTTTATTATTATTATTTATAATAATAATAATGTCCTGATTTTTTGATAGGTCAGGGGTCTCCAAAGTTGGCAACTTTTAAGACTCGTGGAGTCCCAACTCCCAGCCTTCATCCTGCAGTGGATAGATAGGGGCTAGAACAAAGATGAGGATGATGGATGGATTCTTCTTCTTTTTCATGGCTTATTTTATTGTTCTATTATTTTATTTCTCTTGTGTTTTCCCCTCTTTTTCTTTCATTTTATTCTTGTAAGCTGCCTAGAGTAACCCCATGGCAAGATAGGCGGCAGATAATAGACAAAATGATGGATAAATAACAAGCCATTATCTCTGAAATTGCACTGCCATCCACTAATACATTAAAACTTTCTGAGATGATTCTGCCAGTATTTTACCCGTACCACAAAGTCTAGAGTCAGGAGGAAAGCGTGCTGTTAAAGGGTAATTTGTAATGATTCAAAAGGCAATTGTATTTCATTTAGGAAGGGAAGGCCACACTTGCATTAACTAACAAGAAACAAGGACTGGGTTGTGCAGGGACCGTACACACCTGATAACTTTGCAATCTTTGCAAGTCAAGTGAAGCTGGAAAATATCCCGACATTCCACGCTTTCTATGAGCTGCAATGGAACCTGTGACGGAAAAGGTGACATAGATTTACTCCGAAAGGCTAACACCCATTTTCTCACAAGGATTTAGTAGACCGCTGGAGTCCTGGAATGAAACATTACTCACACCAGCAATTACTAGTAGCATTTCCCTCCCATTATATAAAAGGTTAAATCATGAAGTAAAGCGATGCCATAACATGTGGCATGTAGACGCATTTCTCAATTTGATCTAAAATCCACCTGGGTGAAATGGGGTTGAGTTCAATTCTATTCCCAACCTTTTAGTACATGTCTCTGAATTTGGCCATAAGGAATGAGGACAGTTGACGCACAAACATCTTTGGAGACTCTCAATCATCCAGGTTGTCCCAAAAGTGCTTTTCCAAAAGACAACTGGACTTTCTTTGTTTTTTTTTCCCTTTGAAAGCATTTCATTCTCATCCAAGAGGAGTCGAAGGTGCCTTCGCAACCAACAACTATCTTTCTTCAACAGCTCTTGCTTCACTAACTTTCAAAATTACTCTGAGAGCTCTAACAAAGCCTAACTACGTACGAGGAAGAGACGCAGCGTTTTAGCAATTGAGAAGGTGCTTGCAAAACTTCCCCATATCCAAGTCTGGCTTGTCTTCTCCAAAGACATGTGATGGGACTTCCCCAAAGACTTAAAAGCGTGCCCATGGAAAGGCTGCAACCGTCGTAACTTCAAACAACAGCCACAAATCACCTTTTTTCAAGGCTGTTGTAATTTTGAACAGTCATTAAGCAAACTATTGTAAGTCGAGGATTTACCTGTGTTAGAATTTATGGACCAGTCTGATGTCTTGGGAAGAAGGCTGTCCCCCAGAGAGCCACAAAGGGCTTTAAAAGTGAATGATATCTAGAAGTCAAAGGCCTCGTTATGTTTCACTGAACTAAATACTCTTGTCTTGACTTCTTCCTCATAATAATGACTCTCTGTTTTCTCTTTGACACTTACAGCCCCCTCGGTTGTCACTTCTTCAGCTCCTCCTTTCCATCTGTTCCGCTTTCCTTCCTTCTGAACAATTTCCTTCATGTGCTTCATTACACTCCATTAAAAATGGCATATTTACTCCCTAGGAAAGGCGTTTCATGCTCCTTTGGATTCTGCCCTTTTGCCATTATATCCCATTCCCCGAGCAATCTCCATGCTGAAAATCACCACAAATCAAAACATACCATGCAGGTCAATAATTAGTGCCAGCCTCCAGTAATGATTTGCTGAATGTTTTTTTTAGCAAAATGCAATATTTAATAAAATAATGAATCAACTGTTTAGAGGGGGGGGGAATGTAAACCCTTTGGAAATAGGAAAAGAACAAACTTCCGAGGAGAAAAGCAAAACGACAACAATTTAAAAATGTATGCCAGGATAAAAATGAGCAGGGAGGGAGTATTTTAGAAATTTAAATGGAAATGACAGGAACATGTCAAAGAGTGGAACTGAAATGGATGCTATTAATTGTCCGTGATCAAGAAAAATTGGGGAAAAGGAAAGGAGGACTGTGAGAAAATTGAAAGCAATGGGCTGCAGGTGTAGATGCTGTAACTAGAGAATAAGGGTGCGGTTTGCGTAGGAAGACTGTTTAATATAAGCGTGAAGATTGCATCTGTGCCCAGCAACTAAAAGGATCGTAGGATTGCTCCTCTAAATTGGAGGTCCATGAATTGGATGGGGGAAAAAGAATTGTAACTTCACTCTTTTTTTGTGCATTTAAATGTACTTTTCTACAAAGGGGTTTGTAGGTTTCAGATCTCAAGGTGGCCCCAAAAGATTGAGAAACTCTACCTTATCCTCCCCTCCAAAAGAAAGAAAGAAAGAAAGAAAGGTAGCAAGGGTGAAAGGTTGACTTAAATCCGGAGTCTCCAAACTTGGTAACTTTTAAGACTTCTGTACTTCAACTCCCACGGCTGGCTGAGGAATTCTGAGGTTGGGGACCCCTGGTTTAAGTAATTAAAACATCTGCAGGAAAGCAACTAAGCTCAGAGAGCACCAAGGACCCCTCCCAAAGTCACCCCTGCATGAAGCTGACGAGGTCTTCCAAAATTGAGAAGTGGGATTAATGAACAAAAAAGCATGATGGGTGTGGCAGAAGTCAGGAAGGTTTGGCAAAGAGCTACAGAAAAAAATAGTTAATGATCGTGGTGCAAATTAGATCTCGTCCCATTTCCCTTTCTTTGTCTCATCTTATCCCTTTAATTTCTTTGACTCGGCTATTCCTGCCCGCTTTTCTGTGCTCTTCGTAAAGTCGCTTCCTCCAAAAGTGAGTTTGGTCCATACATTACCAATTACCTTCCTGGTTATGAATGAGCATGCAGAACTAGTCAAGCTTACCCCTGGCATTTCACAGAGTATAATCTCTAGGAATGTTGATTGCCTGTAATTAAATAAACAATCTCCTAAAGATATTAGAGAAGCTTCTGAACTGGCTGTGTACTGTGGCTGGGAAGAGTCACTTTGGCAAAAATACACCAGGAAGGGAATTAAATTTTTATTTTTTTTTCAAGATTAAACCAAATGGGGGAAGAAAGACTATGGTGTAACTCAACGTCAAATCTGAACCCTTGGAACGGAGTGAACTTATTATCCAAGACTTATTTAGGATCAAGCCCAGTTCAAATGCATAACTTTTGGGAGCGACCGAATTTGGACAACCAAGAGAGAAGCCTCTTGCATTTCATGCATGCATAAGCTATCGTTGTTGAATATAGTTCCTCTCAAGAGATGGGTGTGTCAGCACTTCAGAGAAGCCATCATTCCATGACTTGGCCACTGGGCCTACTGAATCTTTTATTCAGGTATTTATTTATACGGGAGGCAACTTCATGCTCTGACATGATCCATGCACGCCTGCCTATGTCGCAAGCCACAGTCAGCACATGTTCACTATTCCAAGCAAAGGTGCGGCAGTACAAATGCTGAACAACAGTGTTCTACTTACTGAGATCTCATAAGCGGCAAACTTACAGACATTCTAATGAATTGCAAATAAAGAACAGAATTAGGCAAAAACCAAAGATGGGAGATAAACCTACATTGGCTAAGTAACTTAACAAACGCAAACGGAACACCGGGCCCGTTAAACCGCATGCCCTGATTGGAGGGAAGCGGTGTCTATTAAAGCGGAATGGGATTGTGTATTTCATGGAGGTCACCCCTTTTGTGCTTACGAAGGACAAGTGATGCATCCCCGGAAGGACACAAAGTGTAGACCTGTTTTTCCCATGGCAGTCTGCTAAAGCAAAGTTGGCGAAACTGAAGTGAATTTTGGGGCTACTAATTCTCGCCTGGACAAGACGTTCAGAAGCAAAAACTCAAGAAGTTCCACCCAGCGTTACAAGAAAAGCTGTTTTTGTGATTCAGAGGCACGGCCGACTCTTCACGACCCCACAGCATGCCAGGCTCCCCTGTTCTCCAATATCAACTGGAGTTCACACAAATTCATGTTCACTGCATTGGAGACACTATCTAACCGAGAAGGAAAGAGACAGGGGATCCATTTTCAATGAGGCGGTGAGATAAAAGCTAACCAAGATAGAAATGCCAAATAAGGATTTCACTTGTTAACTCCACTGATTAAAAAAAATAAATACTAAAAAAAGAGGAGGGGGGGGAGGGGAAGAGCTCTCCAAAGTACTGAAAATTGCAGCTGCACCACTTAGAATCAAAGCATTATAAAATTGCAGAATTTGCAGAGTCAGAAGGGACCAGAGAGATCATCGTAACCGACGCCCTGCAAGAATCTTTCCTAGATGAAAACTCCAGCCCCGTTTAAACACCTACTAAGTATTTAAAAACTGTAGCAGGGAAAAGTTCCTTCCTGCTCTGGGCCGACAGTTTGATTTCCTAACCATTTTTTTTTTCTTGGTATGTTCATCCGTCGCCCCTGTCAGGTAGACCAAATCGATAACTCCGCAGGAAGGCTAGAACTATATGTACTGAGATAGGCCAGGGCTTCTCCATTTCAGCAACTTTAAGAAGTGGCTGGGGGGATTCTGGGAGTTGAAGTCCACGCATCTTAAAAGTGACGTCTGAGAAATACTAAGATAGGGTAGAGTAACAGAATATTGCAAGTCCCCTCCTTCTTTTACCCCACGGAGGAATCTGCCCGAGCCACTTCCCAACGCTATCTGATTTACAGACTACAGAATAACAGAGCTGGACGGGACCTTGGAGGTCTTCTAGTCCAACCCCCTGCTCGAGCAGGACACTTTCCAGGAGTTGTGGTTTCTTCAACGGCTTCGGAGTCTTCTCTTCAAGACCGTTTCCGGGGTTCTTTGCCTCCTTTGTTTACTTAAAACATTTATATAGCCGCCCATCTTATAACCAGCTCCGGGCGGCTCTCAATCAAAAGTTAAAAGAGCACGAAAGCCATATCAGAACTGCAGAACTAGACACATTAAAAACAACAAAGACCTGGCGCCAAGCCAACCTTCCAATGGGCAGACACCTAATCTTAAGCCAGAGCTTGGGTTTGGGGGGGGGCAGGGGGGAGAGCCAGCAGGTCTTCACAGTTCTATGGAAGGCTAGGGGGGTGGGTTTCGGGGGGCAGGGTCTTCCATAGGGCAGGGGCTGCTACGGAAGAGGCTAGCTAGCACCCCATCAGGTAGCAATTTTTAGGGGAAGGGACCAAGGAGCCTTCAGATTTGGTAGGTCAGGTGGATGTCCGTAGGGAAAGGCAGCCCTGCAGATCGGCCCTTGTTGCCACGTATTTCAAGATTCCTATTGGAATCTCCTTTCTCAGAATCTCAGCCCACACATCCTTGCCTTGCCCAACTGCTACAGAGAATGCTACCACCTCTGAGGGGGTCCTTGGTGCTCTCTGAGCTTGGTGGTTTTCTTGCAAACTAGGTCAAATCACCAGTGCTCTGACGGTGTTATCTAGTTTGGGTAATGAAATATCTTGCACGAAAACCACCAAGCTCCGCGAGCACCAAGGACCCCTCGTTTCGACTCCGAACTACCAATACCCTCCTTTTATTAGTTTACTTCCACACCGCGGCTCTTGGTAACCAACTATCACAGCTCTCCCTGGTCTTTCCCTTGCAAACAAATAATTAGTTGGCTGTATTCGCCCAAGAGCTAGCCTAGCCAAAATGATTGTCACTGTGTAAACTGTGGTGGTTTAATGGAGGGGTCCAAGATGTTGTGGGAACCCAGCCGCTGTCCTTGTATTTTATGCAAACCAGGCCACGTTAACGCCGTTTTACGGTTTGCTTTCGGCTCGCCGTGTTATAGGCACACTACAACTGTATGGTTTGTGAACCGAGGTTGGGAGTTTGGTGTGTTGCACAAACCAGCTCACAAACGGAGCTCTTGAACCGCTGCTACCTTCTGCTGTAGTTGCCAGAGGTTTTCTCATCGCAGTAATCCCCATGCGATATTAAGAGTATAAATTCATCTAATATTACATAACCGTCTGAGACGGTACCCATTCCAAGCGCTCACTCTCGCATAGCCGAGCAATAACTCACTTTCATATCACTCGCAGCTGCATTCTTGACTTAGAATGCTGTCAATTGCTACACAAACAACGTTTTTGTTCTTTGGGAGGTTAATTTTGCAACTGATTCGCTGCACATCAAACACAAGAATCAGCTAAAATGAAAACGAACTCGCAGCTGCAAAGGAGAGAGAGAGAGAAACCAATCCAGCCAAGTCTGAACAGGGGTATCTTTCTGTTTAATTACAGAATTATACATTATGGATTAGCACTGGGGACTTGTTAAAAAAAAAAGAAGGGGGTGTGTGAAAGAACTTTGGGTTATGGCTGATCATGCGAAGGCAGGCTGTGGAAAGTGGGGGCTAGGAAAAAAAACCTGCCATAACCTGGCTTAATATTAAGATATAAACCAGAGCCAGTTTGGCATAAGTTTGGTAAGGAACCAGACTAGAAACCAGGAGACCGGGAGTTCCAGTCCTGCCTTAGGCATGTAAGTCAGGTGGGTGACTTCTTTTTCAGCCCAGCCAATTTTACAGTTACGGTTGTAGATAAAGTAGGAGGTGGAAGAGCAAAAAAATGGCTGCCAGGCCTGCTACAAAGAACCAATCTCCAACTTCAGTTTTATTCCCCCAAAGGCTTCCGGGCCTCACATCCACAGAATGAGCATTCTGGGAAAAATAAAATAAGAATATTGATGCTGTTCAGGACATTCTTTGGGAACAGGCCAAGCAACTCAAAAATGACATGGCAGCTGGGGGGGGGGGGGGGAGGCTGCAGGTGGGGAGAGAAGAGGAGGGATCCAAATAGGATCCTGACTGGCTCAAGGTTGACTCAGCCTCCCGTCCTTCTGAGGTTGGTAAAGGAGGACCCAGATTGTTGGGGTTTGCAAGAGGCTGACTCTGTAAAACACTTACAAGCGAGACGTAAAGCACCGCGAAGCGGTATACAAGTCTAAGGGCTATTGCCATAAAGGAAGGTTCCCCAGGTGTTGTGCCCTGTTTGAGATTTTGAGCATTGCATGGCAGAACCTCACAGCCTGCTTACAATGTCCCAACAGCTCCACTCGAACAACAAAGGTGGGGATTCGTTAGCATCAAGGCTGAGTTCATGATCAGGATAAATGCTAATTCTACTACATTGCTTCTCCCTGTGTCCTTGCTCTGAGGCGGTGGGAGAGAAACAAGACCAAACTCTTGCGGCTGCGAGGAGGAGGGGTGTTGACTTTGACAAGGGAAGTTTCTGCAGCAGAATATGCACGAGGGTTAAAATAATACGGTAGTAATAATTAAACAGGGATGCTCTCCTCCTTGCCGTCCATCACCCGTTTTGAACCAAAACCTGTGCGCTTTAAAATTCCACCCGCCTCTCTGCACTGGCATCCACAACCAGGCGGCACGAGAGTTGACGGGCAAGCAATTGAAATGCCACCAATGACAGATGTTGCCCCAAATGTTACAAGGGAGGCAAAACCAGCACCACCACGCTGGCTTTCCAGATATTTCCCGTTTCGAACTGAAGGCCTACCCGTGGCAGCTCCCGCTTCCCTCACCCCCAAATTTCTGGTCCAGAAGAGACAACTTACGTTCACCACGGATTCCTTAAATTTGATGTGAAGCCTGTAGTTGGACAGGGCAATGACGGCATCATCGGCTCGGCCGACGTACTCGGTGCTCTCCCCGTGAAGTTCGAGAAATGGGACCTGCAGGGACAGCGGAAAGATTCGTTTCCTTTACAGGGGGAAGGTGGCATCCCAAGACCAAGGATGTCTCCTTCAGGGAAGACACGAGTGGTGAAGGGAGGCAAATGTACGTGTCCCAGGATAACGATGTGAGATCAAATTTAGGTCGGTCGCCGGGGACCAGAGATGTACTCTTCCGAGCTTTCGGACTCATGTTGGGAATTCCTCTCTACTGGAATAGGTGCTTTGGGTTGTTCTGTGAACCGTGTTTATGTGGTGCCTTCCTACTGGCTGATTGGTGTGTTGATGGCTATCGTTTCCTTGTGCCGCCAAGCACTCGGCTCCAAAGTATCTGATAAGCTGGCGGCAATTCAGCACCCCTGTTAACTGGCCCGTTTCCCGGACTTCAATCATTTCCCTGGCTGTTTTTGTACCTGCCCGGCCAACAAACTCAGTAAGCTGCAAAATTGAATGCGTGTCTTCATCCATTGCAATGTGAGGCTACCCATGAGTTCCGGTCTCCTTGTCTAAACCGCTCGCTTGTGTTCTTGCAAGCTCCTGAAGACAAAACCTTTGGTCTCGGTGCCCCACCCAGATTGGATCCTGCCACAGTATATTATATCCCAAGATAATGTTGGATCCTGCAACATTACCTTAGAACATGTTCAGAAACCCGATGGTGGAAAGACCTAACCATCAGACCTTTGAATCCCAGTTGTAAGTCCCCTGTTTTTCAGGCGTAGCCTTGAAAGGTAGCTAAGGGACCAGTGCTAAGTCAAGGACTGTCTAGATTTAGAATTTTTGCAACCAAGCTCACTGCTTCAACCCAAAACGTTTTACCTTCCAGGTCGAAACCAAATCAAGCACCTCGAAGTTCTGCTGTCTCATCTAGTCTAAATCCCACACAGCCCCTGGATCCCACCACCGCAAGATCAAAGGAGAATCAAGTGATGACCTGGAGATTTTCGTCCTCCCGGATTAGCTGCTTCCTGGGGAAGATCTGATTAGCTTGGATGCATTCAAGGCTATGATGAGTCTCTTCATCCTGAGAATGATTAAGTTTAGAAGTCAAACTTATGATTCTGTTCGTGTCAATACACTTGTACGTGCTAGTCACATTTCTTCTACTAACTGAATAATCACAAGGATTCATTCTTAGTCACCACATTCTGAAACTCTCTTCCTCTACCAAACCCTTTAGAGCATAGAGCATAAAATGTTAAGGTTAGAAGGGACCTTGGAGGTCTTCTAGCCCAATCTTCTGCTCAAGCAGGAAATCCTCTATCATTCCGGACAAAAACCTCCAGGGATGGAGAAAGGCTGGCTGGGGAATTCTGGGAGTTGAAGTCCACAAGTCTTAAAAGTTGCCTAGGTTGGACACCCCTGCTCTAAAAGCTTCTACGCACGTTCACAGGTTAAGCCTTAGCATGAGACCAGTGGCAGTCTCCTCAGTACACAATGGTTAAACTACAACTTACTGTAATCTGCAGACCAAGTCAAATCCAGGGCTGTAGCTGCACTAAGGATGTAATTTATTTTTCTACCCGAAATTCTGGAAGCATCTCTTGTTGTGCTGAACACCTGTTTTTTTGTTTTCCCTCCGTGAATTGGAAACAAGGGTACAGAGGCACACAGAACAGTCTTTTTGTCTGTCCAGGTAAAACCAAAAAAAGGGGTGAAGCAGCTTCATCTGGATGAGGCTTCCAAGGATACCAATGACTAGCTTAAATCCTCAACTTGCTTCTTCCACTAAAACCTCAATGTCCGTATGACGTCCTCAACAGAACCGACAGAAGTTAACTGATTTTTGCTAGTGTCAAAACGATCTTCTGAAGGAGTTATAATCCACCGTAGTAATTTGAAAGTGTGTGTGTGGGGTGGGGGGAGACGGAAGGAGACGGGAGACGATGACTTCAACTCCCAGAATTCCTCAGCCAGCTTTCAGGTTACCAAGGTTGAGAAACACTGGTTTAGCGTGACCAAACTTTGCTAGATTGCTGTCAACACCTAAGGGTTGCCCTGCCCAGCGTTCCTGTGCTTTGGCTCCCGTTTTCCTTTTGCTCCCCTCTGAAGGATCTGGGCACGTACCATGACAGAGCCTAGCTGCTAGGCAAGGCCCTCACCCTTGCTTTCCAGTTCCGCAGCGCTATATATCATGGAAAGCTCTGGAAGACAAAATTAGAAGGTGGATACTGAGAGCAATATATTTATTATTTGCAAAGAAATATCACAATATCAGAAATATTAGAATCGCCCCACAGACCAAAAGGACATATGATAAAATTTAGAAGCAGGCATTACTAATTGCATGATGTTTTGCTTAAAATATTTACAGACTGCATTTCAACTCAAAACTCTTAACTGAAGTGGCTATATATAACAAAAGGAGTAAGACACTCTTGAAATTAACATATAATCTACATTAAAAAATTTCAAAAATTCAAAACACTTAGGGTTCAAATTTGAATCCGACTCAATGAACCTGTTCTGAAAAAAATGACTCGTATAATATATTTAATGATGATAAATATAGTCAACCACAAATCTGACCTGTTTCTCAACTGTTTCTTCTGCTACAAATTAATTCCCTTTTAAATCCTTTTGGTGTTCAAATGCCAAAGACTAAAAGTAAAAAAGAAAATGCATTTCATTTGCTGGGCACGCCTAAAACAGCTCCTTGGATTCTGGGCAATTTATTTCCTAATTAAGTCCAACTGCTGTAACGTTCAATTCAATTTTATGTTGCTGACATCACAATTCTAAAGTGGGTGTAGAGATCCAGTGTCCTCTAGTACTGCTGAATCTTAACTATAAGTCAGCAAAGCCACAACTGGGAATCATGGGTACTGTTGTTCAAAATGGCATTGGAAAGCAAAGTCGACCCTAAGCCAATCATTTTACAGGTTGGCCATTAGTTATATATTTAAGAAGTCTTCTTAATATTCCAGTGAATGGATCAGTTCCAATAACAATCCTTTTTTTTTTTTTTTGGAAGTTTCTGGTCTGATTTCCTGAAGATGGTAAACTGTAAAAAGTAGCTTGTTGGATTTTGGCTTAGGGCTTCGTGTGGATCTGTCACAGCCATTTGCAAATCACGGTTTTTGTAGGTTATGTTAACTTATCCAATTGCAGATTGAACAAAACGTGTATCTGTGTGATATGTGAACCACCTTTTAAGAAGGTGAGCATTCAGTAAATCAGATCTAGAGAAGATACTCTGATCTGTACGTTCAGCATGATATATATGGAGCCCCAAATGCAAGGAAAGTAGGGTTTTAGAAACCAGGGAAGGTCAAGCACCTATCACTGCCATTCCTGCTATGGTTCTGGCTAGGAAGAGAACGTTGGAAGTGCAAAGTCAATCTTCCCCAGTGACATCCTAAGTTGCATCACAAATATAATGACCACAACTCTCAGCATGTTACACTGTCCTGGCTAACTGATGCCATTTATAGGCATAAAAGCCAGATGAGTGACTTAGGCCAATCTCCAGGAGGCAGTGAGTTCTAATCCTGCCTTAGGCATGAAAGCCAGCTGGAAACTTTGGCCCATTCCTTCCCTCTCAGCCTAGCTCACCTCACAGGTTGTTCTTGTGGGGAAAACAGGAGTAGGAAGGAATATAAAAATAATAAAGGCGGGATAAAACTTCAGGTCGGTGCTGACTAAGAGACAGGATGGAAGGAGAGAAAGATTTATATGCATAGTCTATATGGATCTTTCCTAATTAAGGACTTAATGAAATCAAGGCTCCACACAAAACTGGTTTGGTTGAAGAGCAAAAAGGAAAATTAATTACTGGTCCAGACTGTGGCTTTCCTAATGCTGAAAAAAACACAATTTGTGGATAAATAAGTGTTGGAAGAAAAGGAGGAGAGGGAGATTGAAAATATGATGGCAATGACTTCCATCCTTCCGAGGTCCATAAATCGAGGACCCAGATTGTTGGGGGGCAAGAGGCTGACTCTGTAAATTGCTTAGAGAGGGCTGGGAAACCACTGCGAAGCAGTATAGAAGTCTAAATGCTAGTGCTATCTACCATTGAACAGCTCGGCACAAATATCTGAAAGGTTAAAGAAAAAAATTATTGTGCTCTTTCAGCATACTTCCACTCTTGTCTACAGGCAGAATCAAAACGATTAATAATAAATACACAGAAAGTTAAACAAGGTAAGTGATTGGCTACAAAACGATGCACAATAATTAGCAGAATTTAAAACAAAAAAATCCAGCAATTCTGAAAAAGGAAAACTGCTGGGCTTTAAGGATCTGTAAACTTACCAATCAACAATAAACCACTTTGACAGATTTCAGATGCGATTCACGATTGTCAGGTATTTCACAGTGACAGCTGAAAGGATAAAAGAGTATTCTGTAATTAAACTGCATCGATTGCTTGGGAGTAAGCTGCATCCTAAAACAACATTTAAGCAGCAAAACGAAACAAAATGCTTCTAACTTATTCTCCTAATCTTGGTCAATACAGGTAATCCTCGGCTTACAACCATTCAAAGTTACAATGGCACTGAAAAAAAGTGACTTATGACCAGTTCTCACACTTTATGACCCAATGGTATAGTGATGGCATCAAAGTTCAGGTTCTTGGCACTGGTGTGCAATGGTTGCAAGCATCCCAGAGGCCTGGGAATTCTCATTTGCAGCCATCCTTGGGAGCTTCTGACAAGCGGTTAATGGGGAAAACCAGATTTCCCTAATGATTGCAGGATTAATTTAACAACCATAGTGAGTCGCTTAACAGCCGTGGCAAAAAAGATCGTAAAACGGGAAAGAACACATTTAAACAAGTGCCTTGCTTATCCACAGAAATTTGGAGCTCAATTTCCGTCATATGTCAAGGACAAAGTGCATACAAAGGGTAAGTCTATATATTAGGAAACCCCGAATTACTCCAAAGCTCAGGGCTAAATCAAACTAAGGTCTCCCTGGTTTGTTGCTCCCCAAGAAGCTAAGATCTCTGGGTCGGACAAATGCCCCGAGATCCTCATTTCTTAGCTGAATTGTTCTTGCTGTTTGCCAAGTGGGTACAAAGGAGCTAAGTGCAAGAAAAGGAAGTCGGGAAACTTCCAAATATTAGCTCGGGGAATCTGTTTTAGACATGAACTCCAGCAATCTCAGAATGCAGGAAACCAATCCAGAACAATTAAAGTGTTCAACTGACAATCCTAGAAATGTGATATTCCCACCCCCCCTCTTTTTTGTTTTTTGGCTAAAAACAAGGATGGGAGACAGTATAGAAGACAGACAAGGTCAGGAGGCAGTGCTTACATTCCCGTCAAATCTTACCTGGGAGCCTGCCAGTACGTTTTCTGGCTTTTACAAGTCAACCCTAACCTACATCTCTCCCTTACAAAATCCAATTTCCTCCTCACCCCCCCCACCCTGGAAAAATGAAAATAAAACCGATAAAGCTCCCCGTGGACAGGAAATGAAGGAATGGTCTGACTAGGCTGCCCAACTCTGGAGGAAGTTTCTGCCTTCCCGAAAGCTGTCTTTGCGTTCAATGAACGTGTTCTTGGAGCTCTGGGTCTTCCAGGCTCAACTGTTAAATGGCAGATAGTTGCACCTCATTATTACAAGTGAATTTAATAAGGTTTGTGGAAGACTTCCATTTACAGAGGCATCAAATGGAAATAGAGATGTAAAACCTACGGCATCCCTTCTAAAGTCTGCTCAAGAAACAACAGGCTGGATATCCAAATTACCTTTCAGATCTGCTCCTTATTTTTATTTTTTTTAAATCGTGTTTCTTCTCAGCCTACCCTCTTTTCCAGATTGGAAACCAGCTTTGCAGATACGATCTGCTTACAGATAACAACAAAGATTCCAGCTTCCCTTTTTTAAAAAAAATGCCAGCTCCAAGCCGGCCGATCTGGCCAAAAAGCCGCCCTGCGTGTGCTGGCTTTACTTCTGAGTAAACAAACCCGGAGTTGCAGATCAAGCCGGCCTCAAACCTCTTTGGTATCTCAAGCAAACAGAAGCATGTGATAACACAAGTTAAAACATGTGCCCTCCTGCTCGGATTCTGATAAGTTTCTTCGCCTATTAATAAACATCCGGTACACCCACATTCAAATTTATGTCTTAGGTTCTGGAGCAACAGAAATCCAGGGACCATAACAATGAAAAGGGACTAGCCTGAACTGGTGTGCATGTGTACAGATATACATGTTTAATTTAGTTTAGTTTATTGTCATTGCACCTCGTACAACGAAATCAAACACCATCTTTAGTGCACATCATGACCCTGAAAATAAACACAAACATACATCCTTCACACTTCATACATTGAAAACCCTTAATGTTGCATTCATATCGCACTATATACTGTACAATTCAATAGAGTTCCTGTCCTGGGATGGAAGCTGTTTTTTTAGCCTATTTGTCCTTGTTTTTATTATCCTGTACCGTCTGCCAGATGGTAATAGTTCAAAAAAACAGGGGTGCCCAGCATGAGATGGATCTTTGAGGATGTTTTGAACTTTCTTAAGGCAGAGGAAGCTATAAAGTTCTTCCAAAAAGGGGAGAGGGCAACCCATGATCTTCTGGGCAATGACATTAACCCTCTGGAGTGCTGTCCTGCCTGCCACGGTGCAATTGGCAAACCATACAGAGATGTAGTAAGTTAAGATACTCTCTCTGGTGCAGCGGTAGAAGGTCACCAGCAGTTTTTCCATGTATACATATAGCGGATTATACGTAACACGTGTGTAATCCACTACAGTCTTAAACCCGGTGTAAAGCAACACGTTCTCAGTGTCTTCTCCTTTCCTCTTCCAAATCCTAGTGTATCTTCTACAAACAGTCCTCTGCTTACAACAGCTCATTTAGTGACCAGTCAAAGTTACACCACCGCTGAAAAAAGGGACTTATGAGCATTTTACACAGGTGATTTACTGACTCCTACTTATGAAGGGGTCACATGATCCCCTTTTGACCAGCCAAGTCCGTGGAGAAGCCAGGCTCGCTAAAACAACCGTGTGACTAATTTTAACAGCCGCAGTGATTCGTTTAACGGATGTGGCAAGGAAAATGGGGTAAAACCTCCAGAAATGTCACACTTAGCGACATAAAGGTTGGGCTCAACTGGGGTTGAACGTTGCGGACTGCCAGTAAAAAAGAGTTGTGTAATCGTTTCACGGTGAGTTGGCTGATTCAAGCTGGCATCTTGAAAGGTGCTGCTCCGATCAGAATTTAAGAGAAATTCCTTCAAGTGGAACGTGACTTGGTTTCACGGGCCAATTAATCTTGTTTTCTGAGCAACGATACAGGAAATCCTGGACTTCAAAGCATTGAAACCACAGAAGAACACCAACCTCCCCTACACTCCGCTGAAGATGACACCTAGCCAGGTTAACAAAAGGTAAGGGAAACCAACCCACAGGCTTGGAGAATGAAACCTCCACCCTCATGATACACCCGAGCTACAGATATTCAGTTGCTTAGTGACCGTTCGACGTTACGACGGTGCTCAAAAAAAGTGAGCATTTTAAACAACTACAACTGGTGCAGCGTGCTCCTGGTCACACGATCCAAATTTGCACGCTTGGCAACTGGCATGTACTTATGATGGTTGCAGCATTCCCCCTTTGGCGAACCCCCGATGAGCAAAATCAATGAGAAGCCGGATTCACTTAACACCCGTGTTACTAGCAAGTGCCGTGATGATTCACTTAACGACTGGGGCGAGAAAGGTCATAACACGGAGCAAAACTCATGCAACAGCTGTCTTGCTTAGCAATGGCAATTTGGGGCTTCGTTGTAGTCATAATTCGAGGACTACGTGTATGGAAATGGGTTTCCCTTGTCTTCTGAGATGTTTCTTTCCCACTTCCAATTTTAGATACGATAGGATTTCTTGGGAAAAGAAATATACATACACACACACACAAAATTCTAGCCCAACTTTTTTTTTTTTTTTAGATTAGCCACGTCAACTTTGTTTTGCTTCTCAGGCAGGGGAGAACTTAATCCCATTCCGAATATAAGGATATCCCTAAAACGTCATCAAAGAGAGGCACATAAAGGTATTTCAGCAATCTCTTTTCCCATCCATGGCCGCAGCCTTCAGGACCACACAAAGTCCAAAGAACAGATTTCTCAGATTAGGGTCAAAGTAGTGGAAAACGTTTTGTTTGAAGAACCCTCTAATTTCAAAAATAGAAACTCTGCAATAAAATCAATAAATCTGACAGTCAGAGCTCCCCAAAAAAGACATTTGTGCTTGAAAGAAGAGAAACGATTTAACTCCAAAAGTTTGATTTTCAACGCTGATGAACATTTAGCCGCTGCCTCGCTTAACAACAGAAATTTTGGGCTCAGCTTTGGTTTGGAAGTCGAGGATTACCTTTCTTCATGTATTTAAATGGCTTTATGATAGTATTCAAACTGCCCAGAGTCACTCAAGTGAGATAGCCGACACAGAAATTAAACAAACAAACACCATAAGGCATGAATTTGGGAACACATGCAAAACTTCCACTGATAACTTTTCTTTTCCTTTTGGCAGAATATTTAGTTGTCTTCTTTTTAAGTGAGCCCTTTATCCATATTATTAAAAATGGCACCGATACGGTTTGCTCGCAGTGCTCCAAAATGTACACTTATCATCACACAATTAGGGGCAGCTCCTCTTTCGAGGAATCAAGCACAGGCCATTTATACTGACCTCGTTTCTATCAACAGGAAAGAGATTCACCCTTTCTCCAGCAATTCCCCAAACAAAACCTTGAAGAGGTACATCAACAATTTTCAGTTGCGCTCTGTAATTTCCAACCTCCTGATCAAACACTGGGCGCAAGTGAGCAGCAATTTAATGGAGTAAGAGGGCTCTTCCCAAACTGAGGATGGTGTCCATTAGGTAGAAAATACAGTGCCTTGCGCTGTACGATAAAGTAAACACCGAGGAAAAATAAGCCTTCCCCTTCTAATCTTGGTTATTTTATAACGCCCTAAACTATGCCAGGTGGGCTCTTTAGGACAAACGGGGAGCTTTAATCCACCTCAGAAGGATGGGCATGGGAATTGAAAGGGCCATACTCTAATCTGAGTAACTTTATAACTTGGGTAAAGTTAAAAGTAAAAAAATCTCTGACTTGAATTGATTATCCTAGGGGGGCAAATGGTCATGGTATCTATTTCATTCATTCATTCATTCATTTTTATTCATTCATTCATTCATTTTTATTCATTCATTTTTATTCATTCATTTTTATTCATTCATTCTGTGCCTCCCATCTCCCCTGGAGGCGATTCTAGGTGGATTACAATCAATAACATGGATTTTTCTTTTCTTTTTTTACAGTCTTTTAACCCCTTTATTCAGGGTGGTGT